TGAAGCTTGCCATAAATGGGTGACTTAGGCAAGTAGATCTCCAGTAGATCTTCGGTGGAGTAAGCCGTATTGTATATCATTGATGATTCCTGAGCTCTCCAGATATTTGATTATCTCAATATTGATGGCTTTCTCCATCACTTTGGAGATTACTGATAACAGGGCAATGGGCCTGTAGTTGTTGGGCAGGTTCATGTTCCCTTTTTTTGGGGATTGGTTGGACTCTAGCTGCCTTTACGAGACGGTAAACAACTTGCAGGGAATCGGTGTTAATTCTGGTGCACATTTTTTGAGGATAATGGGTGGAATTCCATCAGGACCGTTAGCCTTATTCGTTTTGAGACCAAGCAAAATTTGTCTGATAGTGCGTTGACGGAAGACGATTTCGGGCATTCGACTCTCACGGATGGAATGTATGGCGGCACTTTTCCTTGGGAATCTGGAATAAACCAATTACAATATATACCATACAATGGACCGACATTCGCCTGTTGCCGCTCAGCCGTTGCCAGCGCACTGCCGACTGATCATGCATTGGTCCAGAAGGCGGCCAGAGATTCGATGTTTGCTGGGTAGGTATTTCGCAAACTCGAAATATGATGGTAGCATTAGTTGGCGATTAGGTGATGTTGTTGAGCTCACGCTCCTCTCGCGCCCTCTGAGCTATGTCATGGACTCTCGTCTCGTTTTCAGTCGTCTCCAAAATCCATGGCGAATGATTGAAAGAGACATAAATACTTTGGAATCTTGGTGTGCTCAAAACTATATAAGCTTGAATGACAAAAAAAATTAGTTATTTTAATTTCAGTAACTTCAAACTATATAACTGATATAACGAGAAACAATTCAATTATTGAAGAAGTTGAGTGTATTAAATATATGGGCTTAATAATTATAGATAACAATTTGAATTTCAAGGAACACCTTTCCAGTGTTATCAATAAACTTACAATGTTTAGTCGATGCTTCAAATTCGTCTCAGAACTACTCAATAATAGAATACAGAAACAACTATACTACTCTTTCATTTATATATTCTCATATGTCATATCTCTTAAGTGAGTGGGGAAATGCTTTATTAAACGCCAGTGTCAGAAAATTTCTGCAGATAGCACAGAATAAGGCAATAAAAGTATTTTATGCAGTAGCGGGCCGTAAAGTGCACTTTACCACCCGGTTTTGCGGGCGTTAAGTTGCACTTTACCGCCCGCTGTTCTCAGTTTTATTATATCCACATATCAATTCATAAAGAGCCTGTGATCATTTTCCTAGAATATATATCCAGTGGTATATCATAAACTTCTTGTTTATTTCATTCCTTAGTCTCGCTGTTATTATTATCTCTAAATTTTTACTTTCCAATCAAAGAATGACAATTCAGCTTGTTTATTGGATGTGTTGCTATAGACAACAACCATCGGCTTGCTTGACAACGTCAAAATTAGGAAGGTATATACTTGGTATGCATATTGTGAAATTCTGAATGATGAATTTGTTCTAGAGATCAAATAGTTTCACTATCACGATAATTGTAATATTCTTACGATAATTGTTATATGTATAAATATAAATCATCCAGGAACATTACGTTTCTCTTCATTACTGAATTTATACGTAAGAAATCAAATTCGGGGGAATATAAGTTTATCGAAATCTATGGTCATTACTTTTGAGTCAGAAAATAAACCACTAGTGCATAAAATGTTGTATGTATCACGTGCGTGAAATGCGTTTATGGCCTTCAGCGTGTAATTCACACAAACAAATATAGGGTCGTGCAGAATTCAGAATCTTATTGATCACCCCGTATATGTCCCAATTAAATATCAGTAGATAGTTAATCAGAAGTTGAGATAGGGACATGTAAGCCGTTTTGACCAATAATGCATAGTTTCGACAAAAAAAAGTCCTAAAGTTGAAAAATTACGATTTTTCACACCCTATATCTCTGTAATCATTGCCGCTAGACCCCAAGTGTGATACATCGATGAAATCAGCTCTTCAGAGAGAATCTGAAAATGCAATAAAATACAGGATGTTCTATTTTAAATAACAAAGTTGTTGCTACTTTTCGATAGAAGCGGCAACGCTGCAGAGCTGAACATATTTTAGATCGATAGACCAAGAGCAACTACGTGAGTAACCAAAATTTCAGAATGATCCTATGCCCCGTTCTCCATAAACGTCTAACGTATCATCGACCGTGAGTTACCCTGTATAGCAATACAAATATACATTATTCATAAATGATACATATCAAATACACTCACATTATTTTGGGATCTTTCATCCACCTTGTTTTAGATTGCAATATTCCTATATCAGAGATAATTATAATATTACCTCTTGTGATTGAACTCACCGTCGTTCCTAAATGATTATACCTATACCTCCAATTCAAAGCTGCTATAATATGTGCTGACTGACTGACTGACTGACTGACATATGGCCACAGGAGAGAGCTATATGGCCATGTACATCTCAACATGGCGTCTGGCGTGTGCGTTCGTTTTGCGCATGGCTGCGTCACACTCACAGGTCACAAAGATATCTCATGAGGATATCAATGTGAATTATTTAGTCAACGTCGAAGAGATGTAGTTTGAAGAAGTCGCTGCCACATCACATAGTTTCCTCTAGTTGCGATGTCACCTTGCGACGTTGATATCGAATCTACGTCGATAAGATGTGTTAACGAGGTATTGCATTTATGCAAGGTTGTTACATCACACAGATGTTGATGTCACACGATGGTTGGCTGGGTATGTACTGCGATAAGGATAGCGCCGCTGAAAAGACGAATGAATGGACAGGAAACCCGAGGGACACCAATCAGTCACAACAATAATGCATAACCAATATTAGATATCATCAGAGAGGTCAGGGGTGTATTATTATCACACCATATATATGAATATGTTCAAGATAGCTTTTATACGTTTTATTGCGATGTCATCTCGCATGACACGCGTATGCAGTTTTATCGCAAGAAGACATCGCTTTTCCATAACAAATAACATATCGCAATTACATTGCAGAATATTTTTCGCTGTTACATATCGCATATAGAACATATCGCCGCGACGTCGCATAGATAAAACTTGAGTGGGGCAATATAACATCCCTCTGACATCGCAGGGACTTCTATGCGACATAGAATGCGATATCGCAGGTCACAATTGCTACATCGCTGCGATATCTCTGTGATGTTACTGGTAGGTATATTTCCAAGAACTATATAATGTTTGAAAATTAATAAGCTCTCATCTCTGTGGGCAATTTATTCTATGCGAAGCATGGTAATAAACGTTATACGACACAAAAACAATATTTATGTGAGCAAAACTCATATATCAGAATATGGACACAAACCTGAGAAATCGAAAACTTTGATACCTCAGCGGATGGAACAGTTTTCATCGTCTATATATATATATACATTCTTGTTTTCACAAAAGTTATTAAGCAAGCCATTTTAATATGGACTAGATTATAGGAACATCTACAACCAATATCATGCACTTATAACGTGTCTATATAATGTATTATGTTCTCAATTTCCTATTTCCTTCGAATTATTTTGTAGGTCAGTTGGTAGGTTAATCTAAATGTCGGAATTATGGGATCTTGCCGAAGAGTAGAATTATGAGTTCGTAGGAAAAGTATAGTATGTAGCGCGTTTATAAACTCTTCTAGACACTTGTTCATTAAACGCTCTGCTCTGCTGCGCTCGCGCTTGAAATGCTCGTTACTGAAAGGAAGTTCATAACACTTGTTACATATAATATACAGGCTGATCCACGGTGAATGGCCTATTAGAAGTATCTGGAGAACGAGAAGACAAAACATTCTGAAAATTGGGATGCTTTGATAATTGAACATTCTCTATCCGACTAAAATATTTTCATCGATACAGTGTTGCCACTTCTATCAGAAACAACTAGCAACTTCGTTATTTTAAATTGAGCACCCTGTATTTTATTGAATTTTTAGATTCTCATTGAAAAGCTAATTTCATCAATGTATCGCACTTTGGGTCTAGCAGGAATTATTACAGAGATATAGGGTGTTCAAAATCGAGATTTTTCAATTTCAGGATTTTTTTGTGTCGAAACTATTCATTATTGATCAAAACGGCTTACATGTCCCTATCTCAACTTTCGATTCACTATCTACTGACATTTAATTGGAACAGATACAGGGTGATTAGAATTCCGAATCTTGAAGCACCCTCTTTATTTTTTCCAATCAAATTCCAGTAGATAGTCAATCAAAAGTTAAGATAGGGACATGTATGCCGTTTTGATCTATAATGACACAAAAAAATCTTAAAATTGAAAAAATCTCGATTTTGAACACCCTATATATCTCTGTAATCATTCCTGCTAGACCCCAAGTGTGATGCATTGATGAAATAAGCTCTTTAGAAAGAATCTACAAATGCAATAAAATACAGGGTGTTCCATTTGAAATAACAAAGTTGCTAGTTATTTCTGATAGAAGTGGCAACACTGTGTCGATGAAAATATTTTAGATGAGTAGAGAATGTTCAATTATCGAAGAACCGCAATTTTCAGAATGTTCTGTCTTTTCGTTCTCCAGATACTTCTAATAGGCCATCCACCGTGGATCACCCTGTATATACTTACTATTACTATTACTACTACTACTACTACTTGTGTAACATCTGTCTAGGTGTAACCATCGGAGCAATAAAGAAATGGTAATAGATGTTACCCAGAATCACCCTATCACTGAAATGACACGTTTCCCGCTGCGGAGTGACGTCATGTTACGTGCCTGCAATGTATAATGTATAAGTTACAGCAGGCACATGAACGTCAAAACGTGTCTCAAGTCTCAAGTCGCAAGTGGTTGCAGTGAATAAAAAAGGAAGAAGAAGTCAATAATTTTTAACATAACCTAACATTTTTATCTGTCATTCATCATTCTCATTATTCATTATTTTGTCATTATTCATTATCATTATATCATTTTCGTTTTTGCGCAGTGTATGAGTGGTTGTGCCGTCCAGCAGGATGTAGTTTTAGTGAAAATTAAGTATTTTAGTGTAATTTTAGCAACCTTCTCTATGTGATAAATTCGTGCTTGTTCTTCAGATTTTAGCACTCTTCAAAATATATGTCCCTCTTTTTATCTCTAGAACGGTCATTAAAAAATTGTGGATTGTTTTTTTGAACCTGAGATTCTTGAGAAAATACGGTTCTAGAGGGAATGATTAATAAATGGTAGTAATTAAGCTTTTATGGGAAGGCCAACAGACATAGAATATTAGTAAGTAAAGGTTTCACTATGATAAATTCTTCTATGAGTGAAATCCCATGAAAATGGCAGAAGTTGTGAAATGTATTGTTTTAAATTTGTTTTGCCAGTGTTTCTATTTGTTTTCAAGAATCATCATTTTTCAGTAAAAAATTACAAGTAGGTACTGATTGGTTCTTTTTTCAGGGATATAATAGAATAAATAGATATTAAATATGGAACAAGAAGAAAATTCTGAAGTGAATATAGATTCAGGAGAAATAAGTGAACCCAACAGAACATCAGTGACTAGGCCAAGTGCAGGATCAGATGGAGATTATGATGATCAACTTGGGGTTCCTGAATCTATCACAGTTGTAGATATGGGAACTGGACCAGTTGCAATTGAATTTTCTGATGAGGACCCTGAAAGTAAGTGTTATAATTATTGCATTTCCTTCAACAAAACTTGATCAGTTTCAGCAATAACCCGAGATAACCTTGATGAAAATAGATTATAATATCATTTTATTTCAATCCTGGGAATGGGATGCAATGGAAAATAAATGTTACAGCTGTTATCTTCAATTATTTACTTGTATCAATTCAACTTTTGTTTCAGTTGAACACATTGGTGGATTGCCTTTCAACTCAATTCATAACTATAAAAAATTCAAATCCTTCAACAGAGATGTCTTCATACCAGGTGTTGATATCACAGCTGCTATCATAGATTATGAGAGAAATGTGACTTCTCACATGCTCAATCCTAATCTGTAAGTATTGTATTTCAAATAATCTGATATGAAAATCACAGGTATGCACCTCATTTTTATCTACAAAATATTGGTGCCTTTGATTTTTTACTGGCAATATATAAGTATCCTTACTTCTCAGTATCTTCATTTATCACCATAACTCTTTTTGATTTCTGGGAAAGGTACATACCACGATGTACATACTATTCACTAACATCTTTTTTGTGTTTAATATTTTGACATATATCTCAATCTGAGAAATTATAATAAATTATATATTATTATCATTCATTAGGAAACATCTAATCACATCTTGATAGTGGATGTTCTAATACTCACAATATTGCACAATATGCATGATTAAATTATTTGATTAGAATCAACTCTGATCTTACTAGCAAGTGAGAACCACATGGAATTTGAAAATGTCCTTGATTATGGAATTTCTGCTATGTGAACAATTCATCAATATTCAGTTTGTGGTATCATCAGGCTGAGATCAGAAAGTTCTGCTCTGTTTACTGATATGATATGTTATGTAAAGACAATATCATTATATTCCTAAATGACCAAAATAGATAAAATGAATATCTGTTATGTGCCACAGAATACCCAATTACCCACTGTGTGGTGAGCCCTTCACCTTCCACTAATCTGGTATTGTCTCCTGTAAAATTTTGTTCAAAGCACAAAGAAGTTTCATAATCAATGATGATATATGTACAAATCAAGAAAAATAAAATGGGTTGCACTGTTCAGTCATAAATTCACTTTATAACAAAACAATTCTTGTTATGTACATGTGATGGATACACAAGGTCTATTAACTTCTATAAGATTGCCTCATATTTTTTCTGGAATTACATCACTGTGTCCCCAGTGGTCTTTTGTCAAGCGGCAAAATGAAAATGGTGGAGGTGATAAACAAAACAAAACATGCAGCAAGTACAAAAGACTATGAAAACAGAAATCTAGAAAGATATGTTCAGATCCCCTATTGTACAGACCACACATTACAAAAACTCAGTCAAATTCTTATTGCAATATCACTCCATCAGGACTGATTTCTGTTGGCATTCAAGGATATGGAGGTTGAGCTACTGATGAAGCAATTTTTAATAAAGAAAATTTTATTGGGAAGTCTGAACCAAGTGATGGAATCCTGGTGGGTAAGGGCATGCTGACTGACAAGGGATGTGAAGCGAGTTTCTTGAAATTGATAAGGCCATTTTTTCTTAGAAAGAAGAAACAATTAACTGAAGAGGATTTCCTACTGGATATTGTTTTCCCAAAACATGCAGCAAGTACAAAAGACTGAAAACAGAAATCTAGAGATATGTTATGTTCCTCAGTGCTCCTGTTGTATAGATACATTACAAAAACTGAGTCAAATTCTTATTACAATATCACTCCATCAGGACTGATTACTGTGGATATGGAGGTTGAGCTACTGATAATGAATTTTTCAATGAAAAAAATTGTATTGGGAAGTCTGAACCTAATGATGATAAGGCCATCATTTCTGAGAACGAAGAAACAATTAACTAAAGAGGATTTCCTACTGGATAAATTGAATGAGTCAACGAACTCAATGGTTTTATTTCAGTATCAAATTGGAAAATATTATTGTTTGAAAATGAAATAATAAGAAAATAAATCAATAAAGAAGTCATTATCACAATTCATTCCATTTTATTAATGCAATAAAAGTGCAACATAATGGAAATATGTTCAAGATATCTTCCTTGTAAGAGTAATACGAAATGTTTCATAAAATTGACTGAAATGTCGATGTAAGTTTTGGAGAAAGAAGAATTATACAAGAAAACTAGTTTCTTTCAAGTTCATTAGGGACATTTTAGGGCCATTATTTCCAACTGAATTTATCCATAATAAGTGTGTCTCTCTTCCAACTTCACATTTTTTATACCATCTCCTATCAAAAAATGGCATTGTTCCACAAAATGTTCTGAACAATTTTCTTTACATGAAAATAATTCAAGCTGAATGTTATACACATTATTCAACAAACCTCTATGTAAGGAACTCAGTAAGGACACTATTTCAATTATTTCCATGGTCATCCTTGCTGAAAAATAATTGCATATGGGGAAAATCCTAACCTAAATATAGGGACACAAATTTGTTTGCATGATCTGAAATCCAACATTATTCTCAAAGAACATTTCAAAAGAGCTTTGGATTCATATTCGATTCCATGCTGAACAAATTCATTTGTAAAATCCTTTGGAAAAAAGAAGTTGATTGCCTTTTTCCCAAGAGTCCTTGGTACATGTAGAAATGAAGTGGTATAGCCTAAAATAATTCAAAATTAATGTAAGTATACAGTTTTCATGATGGTATGTTGAACTTTAATAAACTCACCAGTGATCCTGGGTACCATTCAATAGTTTTTTACATTGAGTTCATTGGCTCCCAAACAAAAAACTAAAAAGACTGATATACCTGTAAAATGAACTTGAATTATATAAAAGGAGAATATTTTCCCATTGATTCTCATCCTTATTATTTGGCCCTGCATGTAGGTAGGTACTGTTCATTTCATATGTGTTAGGGGGTCACTTTCCTTCTTTTAATACGTGGATGGCAGAACTCTTGAAATGTCTTTGCTGTATAGTAGATCAATGACTGATCAACTCCCTTTTTTTTCTTTTCACCACTTCTGTGTGTGTTATATATACAGCTTCACATATTCCAAGTCTTCATTCCTGAAATTTCATTTATTTTTTACCTGTATGTGATAGATCAAAAGTGCAGCTTCCTACCTGTCAATATAAATCCAAAGTGTCTACAAAACTGTGACATGCCTGCTTCAAAGGAACATTCACATTTCCACAGCTCATCATTTTCCTTTGGAATTATTTGAATCTCATGTGGATGCGGCCTTAGAGCAGAAGATTGTAAACACAGGCTTTTTATAACATTTGTTTGTTCTTTATCCACTTTTGACTCCACACATAATATATTATGATGTGACCAGCCTTGAATAATACACCATATTATTATACAGCCTAGCTGAAAATCCATCAAATCGCAGTTTTCAATATTTTTGAGAGTTGCATAAAATCAAAATGTATGTTGATTTTCAGAAGTCCCTACAAACAATGCAAAGCAATTATTTTCCATAACTGATATCTGCTATGTGATGCCAGTTTTATTACACAGCCACAAAAAATCAGACTGTCTGCCGTATTTGAATTATGAAACGAAATGTTGTTGCAAGCTGGTGAAAATAAATCGCTAAAAATCGAAATTTCGATGGAAATACGTTGAAAATAAAATAAACTCTAAATTTATCGTTTTACAAATTAAAATGTTATCAGTGCGCTGGATTCTTATTTCAACCAGCTTTCCGATGGGGGGCCATCGCCCTAGCCTCTCAGGAAGGAGGTTTTTCTTTTGATTTTTATATTCCTCCACCAATGCGCAAACTTTAAATATCACTGATATCGACTGATCAACTCCCTCACCCTCTTGGGTATCCTCCGCCAGATCACCTATATCAAGGGCTAAGCCTCTGCGACGAACACTTCTCATATACGCTCACATTCCTTGGCCAACACCAGCCACCTCTGTCTTGTGCGGAGGACTCTTTGTAGCACTGTACATCTCAAATCATGTAATTTGACTGTAAATAATGTGTTGTATTGTAAACAAATCGAAACTTCAGTACTAGCCGTTCGATATCTGAAGTTTAGCAGTGTCGAGCGCGGTTAGTACTTGGATGGGTGACCAGTTGAGCAAACGCCGCGTAAGCCCGTACATCTGTAGCGGAATCGCATATCATAGCTACAGCTACCATATCAATGAGCACAAGATATGGTACGGAAGGGACGTGAAGCCGGCTGGCCCGAGGCCATGAATGTTGACCTACCTCTGGTTGGAATACCAGAGGATTCGGGAAAAGGACCCCGCACTTTTAGTACGTAAAATGGTTCTCGGTGAAATTTTCTGAATTTTCAGTATGTTCTAGAATTCGATGAACTGATTGAACCTGCCGAATCGTAAAGTTCTTTGATGAACAGATTCTGAGATACAGGGCGTTGAAGTTACAAATCGGTATTTTTCATTTAATTATTTTCTCGAAATTCAAAAATGCCAAGTACAATTTTTTTCGCTCATATCATCAACGAACCTCCATATTACTCAACATAATTCAGATGGTTCACATAATGTAATTGTTTACAGAGTGAAACATATAAACATTTCAGTGATGTCTGAAAATTCGATGTAATAATGAAGTATCGAAAAAATATTTTAGGCATGCAATATACTATTCTCATTCCATCATGAATCACAATTCATACATTTCATACAGGGTGATTTGAAAAATTGGTGACACCCAAGACCGATTTATTCATACACATCCTGTATATTCGAGTGAATTGTTAACCTCCCAAGATAGCTGATACCGTATGAACATGATTTCGTTGAGATATATAGGGTGATCATGAAGATTTTCGATGATGAAAAAGACAAGAAATCGTGTTTTTTGAAATCACCCTGTTATTCATGATTAACTCGGTGAAATTCCCTAATTATTTTTTAATATATTCATCATTCTCTCCTCAAAGCTGTCTTGAAAATTCAGTTTCCTATCATGACGGGTGTCATAGTTATTAATTCAGGAACTTACCATTAGCATGAAGAGTTGAAGAGACCTGTTCACTTACATTCGCATAGTGGCCGATATTTTTCACAAATAGTGAAACGTGAGAATGTGGAGACGAAAATAAGTTTAGTATTCATATACAGGATGAACATTAGAAATTCAATAACAATAGCAGATATATGAATTTGATAATATTAATATAATGTACAGATAGTTAGGCGAATTTCGTTCGAAAATCTTCATGATCTTCATCATATATCTCAACGAAATCATGTTCATACGGAATCAGCTATCTTGGGAGGTTAACAATTCACTCGAATATACAGGATGTGTATGAATAAATCGGTCTTAGGTGTCACCAATTTTTCTAATCACCCTGTATGAAATGTATGAATTGTGATTCATGATGGAATGAGAATAGTATATTGCATGCCTAAATTATTTTTTCGATATTTCATTATTACATCGAATTTTCAGACATCACTGAAATGTTTATATGTTTCACTCTGTAAACAATTACATTATCTGAACCATCTGAATTATGTTGAGTAATATGGAGGTTCGTTGATGATATGAGCGAAAAAAATTGTACTTGGCATCTTTGATTTTCGAGAAAATAATTAAATGAAAAATACCGATTTGTAACTTCAACGCCCTGTATCTCAGAATCTGTTCATCAAAGAACTTTACGATTCGGCAGGTTCAATCAATTCATCGAATTATTCAACATCCTGAAAATTCAGAAAATTTCACCAAGAACCATTTTACGTACTAAAAGTGCGGGGTCCTTTCCGGTTGGGGGTGCTCACCGGCGTCGGCGATTAGCCTCAGTAGCAGAAAAAAGGCCGACGTTGAATAAATAAATGAAGAAGAAGAATTTCCAATGAGGGGTCACAAACTATAAGATTGGATTTGAAAAAAACATATTGGGGCTAATTTCAGATACCCCTGAAGGTCTATATGCTTCATATGGCTTGCAAAATTTATGATGAATACATTGAAACGTTGAGGTATCTTGGGAGTTTTTATAAATTTCATTCATATCCCTGCTACCTAATTTATTCCAGTTGAAGTCTGTATACCTTGCATCATGGAATTATAGTTTCTCTGTCTATAGAACGACAAAGGTTCAGAATTCTTTTCTAAAGGAAGTATTCTCAAGAACTTATAATCTCCAAAAGTTGAAAAAATATATACTACCTACCTCCTCTCCCTATCCTCCCTGGATACGTACGATGTTCTCCGAACATTATAGGAATTCCCTCTTGTGCGCTCCGAGACATAAAAAAAACATCACCTTGATTGTCTCATATAACCATTGAATGATTGATTTTTAGTATTCAAGACATTCTTGGCATCTTCACTCTAAAAACTAATGCACTTTCTGTTATTTTTAGGTATACAATATCTTTAGTCCATGGGAGTTTTTCTTGGCAAATCAAGAAAAGGTATAAACAAATTCAGTCCTTGCACCAGCAACTAGTAATATTTAGAGCAGGCCTAAATATTCCATTTCCAACCAAAACACACCGAAATAAAAGAAAACGTATGAAGGAAAGTGGGAAAGTATCATCTAAAGGAAAGAGGAAGAGTGCTTTGCCTAGGTCAGTGAAAAGAAATCAAACATTCCACTAACACTAACAAAATGAATTCCAAATCAACTGTCCAAAAGTGGAAATTTTGGGCGGGTTTGGGAAAACTGGAACTAACTGCTTATTATAATGGATAATTACTACTACTTACTAACAAACTAACCTTAGGTAGGGAAATATCTTGGAAATTATTATTTTACTTATCTTCACATTCTCAAAGAATGTGACCAATCACAAATCAAAGACAACTTGTATTATCGCGAAAACACTAGCTGTCTTTCAATAATTCGGAACCATGGATAGAGAAGAAAATTCTGTCAGTTTGACATAAAATAATTATAACCATAGTTGTCAGAATGGATTGCTTTGGTTGTACAGGGTGCCCCTAAAAGGTCTTTACAGAAACTTACCACATAATCCTCAGAATAAAACAATTCCATATAAGCAAAATTACCTCAGTACAAAGTTGCTTTGATTGGGCGCTGGACGGCTATGAAGTTATTATTTTTAAATAGGTTCTGCTCCATAACTTTGAAACAGCTCATGATAGATTCCACTCAAATTTGGAACATTGGCATAACTTTATTGTAGGAGTGGGTGATAATTTTTGTCGGTTACTCGACGGAAAAGATACATATATAATGAAGATGATGGAAAGCCCTGATTTCGAGTGACAATGGAAAATGAAAAAACTCCACCGCCCTGTGTGAGAGTCGAACTCACAACCTCTGGGTTACATGCCCAACGCTTTGCCAATGAGGAAGTTTCCTATTTTGAGGTTTCTATCTAACTGTGAAGTTTGTAAAACATTAATATATACGTATTTTTTCTTTTTTTCGTAAGATGAAATTTCACTTCAGAAAAAAATTAATAAAAGAGGAACTTGGCTCCTCCACCATTCCTATGACGTATTTTCTGAAAATCCACATTCACACAGAGTTAAAATACGATCACCTGTGTCAGTTCGACGTTGCCGACATTATCATTATGTCTAGATTTTCGGAAATTGTTCTTTGAATGCATAATAACTATATCATAACAGCAATGGGATGTAATAGGTTCTTCAATCCTGCTTTGTCAAGTATTATGAATAATTCCCATAAATCTCTCATTGGCTGAATGAAGTTGATTTCTAATAAAGATAAATTGAGATATTTTGCGAAAGTATCTATAATTTTTCACTATCGTTATATTACAATATGTTATTCATAACTTGTCAGTCATTTTTTTGCTAATGAATTCGTTCCTTAATAAAACGGATCTATTTTCTAGGATTGTTGCAGATTATATCTTGCAACAGCGCATAATGGGTGCCGGCTTCATTCTGTTCTGACCGATGGCAGTAAATTAGGAAGGATAGTATCATTGAATGTAGCCGATAGTGATTCATTGATTCAATGACATTTCCATTTAGGATTGAGCTCTATTCGAGATATTTCAATGCATAAATAACAAAACCATATCTTGTCAGAATGAAGCCAAGTTATATGTATGTTTTTGTTTAGCAATTTTACTTCTTCTTCTATTTTTTCATTCGTTTTTTATTCGATACCTATTCGCTAGCTATATTCTTCACCATCAGCTATTTTCAGACTAGATTCAGAATGTACGTCACAGTTTGCCGCCCCGAAAATTAGAAATTGCTTTAATTTGAAAATGAAAACGACTTGGACTTTATCGTTCGCCATTTCGTACAGGGTATCCCAATTTGGGCACTTTTGCGGGGTATCTCCCTTATCAGTAAAGATAGAGCATTGCGGTTTTCGCGACAGTGTGCTACTTTTTTATGAAATTAATAATGGCGCAAGCAGAATTGTGATAGCTCTTCCGGTTGTCGAGATACAGGGTGGAATTGAAAAATATCACTTTTCAGGCACCCTCCGTGTCTCAGTTATCTTTGAACTTATCGAAGAAGTTAAAACTTGTTTTTATAGAGTTTTTCTCGTAGAATCCAGTGGCGTAGTTATTTTTTTGCTAGCACCTTTTGTTTTTTAGTTATGGAGCAAACATATGTTTTTTTAAATGGAACACCCTGTATATTATTTCATATATACATTGAGCATGAAGTGGGCTTTCCAAAAATATATAATTGTATACAATTATTTTCCATTTAAAAAAACATATGTTTGCTCCATAACTAAAAAACAAAAGGTGCTAGCAGAAAAATAACTACGCCACTGGATTCTACGAGAAAAACTCTATAAAAACAAGTTTTAACTTCTTCGATAAGTTCAAAGATAACTGAGACACGGGGGGTGATATTTTTCAATTCCACCCTGTATCTAGACAACCGGAAGAGCTATCACAATTCTGCTTGCGCCATTATTAATTTCATAAAAAAGTAGCACACTGTCGCGAAAACCGCAATGCTCTATCTTTACTGATAAGGGAGATACCCCGCAAAAGTGCCCAAATTGGGATACCCTGTACAGCGTGGACATAAAACTGGAGAGTTCCGAACTTATTTTATGAAAATTCATCCGAAGGAAACTTCCCCATTGAGCCAACGGGTCGTCCGTCGATCAATCGGCAGGGAGGTCGAGTTCTCATCACACACCAAGCGGCAGAATCCTTCCAATTCCCGAAGTCACTCGGAATCATGCACTATACGAAGCATCGCTGGCAGGATGGTACTACACAGTCTCCATATTTCCCCGTTCGTCCTCTGGCATTGTCTTTCCTTGTATACGGAAATGTCCGCCAGCAATCTATACATAGGAGTGGGTGATAATTTTTGTTGGTTACTCGACCGGAAAGATACATAATATATGTATCTTGTATTGTATTCCGGGACTGAATTAAGTCTGCTCTTTTGAAGATGGAGGATCGTCGTGGTCGTCCTCATCCTTGGAGATCAAAATATAGTGACGTTATGGCAAGTCTTGCTAGAGCACAGAGTGCACAAAGCTAAGCACTTAAACCCAGGTCTGTGCTTAGACTCAAATGAGAGGGATGTTTGGAACTGGTTCCCATAATGTTGTTATTGGAATTTAACCAATAATTCCGTTTTCCGTTGCCAGAAAATGGCATCCGCTGAATTCGTGAAGGAAGAGTTGAAATCCGGAGTGCTATTCCATTCCTCCTTGACTGAGAGAAGTGGTGAAAAACTGAGTGCAACTCCCCAGCTAGCTTTCACACATCAATTTCACGTCATATACGCCTCCCCAATTACGTCGAGATGACCAGATTATCAACGTGAAAGAGACGTAAATGTGACGTCAATATGTCACAGCGAAACAACGTCGTTTAGCGACGTCGTAACAACGTCATTTAGCGACTTGGTCTACACGTTACCAAGTAGGTCCAGGTTTGACATCACCAAGGAACTGTGAAACTGTAAATCACTTTCTCTTAATCCCAATTCTTGATGGTTGACAAAACAGTTCAAATAACCTAGTTACAATAGTTGGAATATTCAATTTGTTTACATAATTATACATAGGTATTCTTAATCTGAATAGAACAAACATGAAATCCACCATATTTCAAGTTTCAAAGGAATCTCAACCTAATAACCTCAAATTATTCTTGTACCTACGATTTAAGGTATTTAAGATTGCCGTCTTAAAAAACGACCTCACTAGGTACACCAAATAACTTCCAAGTTTCAATTGGAGATACCCCTTCCTTAATTGACCTGTTGAAAAAGTCTTGCTGTTTGGAAGGCGGTCACCACACTTCAGTCTCATGAGGTGTCAGCCAGTCCTTCTGAACGAGTGCAATCCCTCCCCCGTCATTTTCTCGGAATTATATTCCCACAAACATTTCGACTGCTTGGATTGAAAAAGTAACCAGCAAACTGCAATATATTATATATTCGACTGAACATCACTTTTCCATAGTGTCCTTGTTTGACCCAAAATCACAACACTAGATGAACTTGACTACGCATGCGCATGATCACGACACACTGTGCTACGACGATGTCCGATAGGGGTAGCGGTGGCATAATGCGAAACGAAGACACTCGAAGCCACGGAGCACGGATTGACCAATCATAAGCATCCTTATGTCTTGACGTGGCGCACTAGCATGAAACATAAAGCACCTCGCATAACCGTATGCATATAATAAATTCTTGAATCTTTCCTATCTGTTTCCAAGATATCCCTATCAGGGTGTTTTTTATAAATATTTATTCTACATATTTTACCACTAAGTTTTATCCATTTAGTGTATAGCAATATTGATAATGGTAGGTATCTACATATATTTATTTGCGTGAATCCTTTACTAAGGTGGGTACCTATTTCATTCTGATAAGTGGTAAATCATGAGTCATGGATGGGTAGTTTTCAATTTATGAGCAACAACACAGTGTGCTTTATGATGCTTTCATAGGTGGACGTAGGAAAATATAATATACACTCTGGGAGTAAAGAGTATTACAGAGTATTATTGCTATGGGATCTTATATCCTTGGGCTGAAACTGAGATATAATCTTGGTTCCTGGGTAATAAGGATAATCTTCACTACATTGGTGTATAAATATCTATTCCTTTCTCATTTTTGGCCAGTTTCTTGGGTATATGGTTCTTTTTGTTCATTGTTGTTGTATTTAAGAAATGATATCGACGTCTCGGCTGAAGGCTTCCAGCTTTCTTCGGAACAATTTTTTTGTTTGTGTTACGCCTACAACATTTCTTGAATACAACAGCATTTCTATTCCTGTATATTGATATACCCAAGAAACTAACCAGAAACAAAAAAGAATAGGGTTCGAGAAACTTCAAAAAATGAAATAGGTTACTGTTTCTCATTTTTTCTGGAATGAATTAAGCTCGGAATAAAGTAATCTCCATGACTCTATCTCTTTTTTCTTGAATCATTTCATTCTTGCTGCGTATCTCATATTTAGATGAATAATGATTGAATTATTGAAGATCAATATCAAAGAAATCAAAGTTGATATTTATCCTGAATAAACAGGAAGACCCTCTATATCGAAAAAAAATATCATCATTGTCAACCAACTGATGGATGGACTTGGACAGCTTGAGATATCAATAAGAGCAAAATAGTTAGGGACAGATTCATTTCAAGAGGCGCATCTTGTATAGTATGATATTCCTGAAGGTTTCTTCATTATTGTTTCATGACACTTCTCATTCTTATTTTTTAGGTTTCCGAAGAAGCCTGAAATATTGGTTTCATATGACAAGATAGGATTCAGAATGAAGCAGATTGAAAGTTATCTGAATAATCTGCTATCTATATCAGTATATCGAAATAATCCGGCCACGGTAAGTTGATAACAACATCTCATCAGCATTATGGAAATGTAACAGTCCAAAACTAAGATTTTCAATGATATTATGTTCAATCACAATATTGATAATCCACATTCATATTGATTGATGTGAAAGATACTCCCAAAATATGGGGATTTTTTTTAATAACCATACCTCCAAAAATGCACTCTTGCTTATACAGGGCGAAAAGAGTATTATTATTGCATACCTGGTGTAATACAAAAGTGATCATTCTCAAATTCGGCAAACTTTCTTATATCCGCGTCGAAAATACACTAACCGCCTGATAGTCCATCCACTCAAAATGCTGATGAAAATTGCTCATCACTAATAATTTTTTTATCACACTATTATACCGATTTCCACTAGACAGAAAACATGCACTCAGTGTATATCCATCCATTCTTGAATAATCACACATGATAAATGAAGACGCTAATGCGACGAGTGGAAAACGGTATAAGTAAATTCATAAGGAATCTAACATAAGTTTCAAATTTCAAGATCAGCTTAGCATATTGTCGTTCTACAATCATTGGGTTGGCCCCTTACAAGCAACCCTCAGAAGTCTATGAAATAGGAGTTTTCAACATTCCTTATTTATAATGTAATGAAAAAGGAATTATAATGACTGTTGCATGAATCGGCCTTCAGAGTATAATATAGAGCAGCAATTTGTATCATGACGTTTTTTGACATAAGTCACGAGTCATTCTCGAACGCAAAGGGTTAAACGATTGCATACGGAGGTGTTCGTATGTCAGGACGCTTTCGAGTCTGCTATTGCAGAGGCGTGCAGTACTGAAATAATTGCATTTCCACTCCATTATTAATACATCACGCCACTGCTTCACTACATCTGACCTTGAGTTGATTTGATTCATTTCATGTTATATTTTTTCAGATAGAATTTTTAGAAGTTTCCCATTTATCGTTCATTGCAGAACTGGGATTGAAAGGAAAAGAAGGTCTGGTCAAAAAGAAGACCGGAAGCATTCATCCTGGTCAGTCAGGTTGTAATTTTTTTGGTCTATGTCACAGTATTTGTTGTATGAGGTGTGTAACTAAATTGTAGTTCAATTCTAATGAAATACCCCTCTTTTGCTTTTTGATTCAAGGAAGAAGGTTGCTTGGTGACTAGTCTGGATTTATTCACACATCTTCTGCTCTGCTCGGTTTCTGCATGAACTGGGAATTTATTTTATGTCTTTATGTTGTAAATGTCGTGTGCTTGTCATAATTGGAATTGGAGGTTGATTAACTGTTACTGCATGTAATCAGGACATTTCATTCCATTCTTGATTTTTCTATTGATCTAGGATCTTGTTGCATTTCGAACTCTCAACTTATTATAGAGTTTTTATATACAAAAAACATTGAAACAAAAGTGTTGAATGTTTTAAGGAACTCCAATTAACACTATCGGAAGGGTTAGGGAACATCATAAGCCAAGAGTCATACTTTTCTTGAATATCAAGAATCATAATTCATTATCAAAATGTTGTAAAAATAGAGATACCTATTGAGACAAGTTTAAAGTTTGTGCTTTTTCGATGCACTGATTTAATGATTGTCATTTGTCATCACTTGATTCCACTACCCAGTACCTGCATTAATGTTACAATGTTGTCAATACAATATTTACAAGGCTGAAACGACTAACATTTTCTAGGTTCTCTTCAATGAATTTCAATTGGATACTATTTTCAATTTTGAGGATTTTAGGATTGTATTGAGTGTCAACGTTTATATGAACAACAATAGAATATCGTTGAGAATTTGATTTTTATACGTTTTTACACATGAGAACCGGTGATAAAGGTGAATGTGGTCTAGTAGGCCTTTGTTTGTAAAAAATAGGACGCCGCTTAGCTCCAGAATACATCTTTCCTTCCTCTACATTTCAAAAATTCATGGAAATCGCTTCATAAATAAAAAATGTATGAGGGTGGCCCGCTTTCAAATGAGTCACTCTGTATATACCGAATTGAGGTTATCTTTTGTCAGATTTTGAAAAATATAGAGTTTTTGGTATGGATCTAAAGATGAGTTCCCAATGCAGAGTTTTTACTTTACGCTTCGCGCGTCAAGCAACCTGATTGGTGACGCTGCATTTGAAAAATATTTGACGCGATGAAGTTGAAATATTTCAACTTTTTGGCGTTGCTGCTTTGTGTTGTGTGAAGGTTATGTTTCAGTAACCTTATTATTAAAGCATTATGAATTTTTTCAACACATCAAGATTTTTCATGAATATATAGAAATTTTGAATTCAACTTCATTTAACCCTCATTTCTGTGAGTAATCTCATGGTTGGTAAACGATTGCAGTATCACTGAAGTAGGTACCTACCTAATTATCTTATTTTCACTGTGCTGTTTTCGTTTTTTGATGAATTACGTATCTAATGCAGTTCTGAGCTCTGTATATCTTGGAAGCATTATACTATATTTTCAATATTCTCAGATATTCTCATGATTTTTCAAAGCAAACTTCAACCAAGTCAACAATGATGAATAATTTCATTGGGAACTGAAGAAAATGATGAAAAACAGTGCAGCAATTCTGATTCACGCGTCACCAATCAGAATGCGTGACGTGTGACGCGAAAAGCAAGAAAGCTGCATTGGGAACTCACCTTAAGGCAGGTGTTAAACGGCTGACGACAATGCTGCGATTGCTGGCGTTTTACAGCTGCCTTAGAATCCATATCTTTCGGAATCTGACAAAGATAACATCTGTAAAAACTTCACGAACGATGAGATTTCCACAAAATTCTCAGTCACACGACATGTTTCGCTAACACACATCAGTAGCTTCATCGGGTGAAATACTGGTACAATGAAATAAACCAACCTTGGCTTGCCTAAACTTATATATATCCTACTTTTCCAACCTGAAGGATTAGAATTATCTGTGGAAAGGTCCGATAAATCTTAATTTTCGGAAAATAGGCACAATATCTACATTAAAATACATATTATTACCTACTAAGAAAACAAATTCAACATTAGTGAACTATTGAGGTTTAGAATTTAGTGTTATTCCTTTATTTTCTACATGTAGAATTTCGAAAATGTCATCAAAATTATGGTTCTCTCCTAATATACCGGGTGTCCCAGTATACCTGTTCCAATACAATAGATTATTTCAGCCATTTCGAAATATAAAAATTTGAAAATTACATGATCTACTACAATTCTAATAATTTGAAATTATTATTGAAGTCAAAATCAAGATTACAAAAATATCGTAGCCTACTGCAATTCCTTCAAATTGAAATTTCAATTGTCGTTTTCTCTATCAAATCAAATTTAAAATACGAAGTGTGATACATCGTTGGAACGGTAATTTCGAGTAGGAATCAAATATTGCAAAAAATATACAGGGTGCTATTTGAAATGAAAAAGTTACAGTCACTTCCGGTCTCCTCAGTTGGAGCTTCCTTGTACCAATTAGAGATCATGAAATTTTCGAATTATTATTTTTCGAAATGGCTGAGATAATTCATTGGAACAGGTATACTGAGACACCCGGTAGGGTCGGTGTATGCTGAATTTGTTGAATTTTTTTTAAAAGATGTTCATGAATGCGCTGATGAAACGTACGACCTGTCTGACCGATATATACCTTTGGGCAAGATCCACAGTTGAGTTTGTATACCGCTGATTTTTCGTGTAATTGGTCTGAATGCTACTTTTAAGTCTTGTTTATGTGAACATGAAGCTAATTTTTCAGTTGGTGATCCGAAATAGGTTGAAGTTCTATAATTTCGATTATTATTTTTGATGGTGGGATAAACTTCTTGAATAGCTTTATTATGGAGTTTTTCAGAAAGAATACTGTCTATCAAATTAACATTGTATCCGTTGTTGATTGCAATTTGTTTTATGATATTGAGTTCTTTATTGAAATTTACTTCTTAGTAGGTAATAATATGTATTTGCCTTTGCCATCAACCCTTTCAAGTTAATCCGTTACACCGTATTTCAATGTAGATATTGATAATGTGCCCATTTTCCGAAAATGAAGGTTTATCCAACCTTTTCACAGGTAATTCTAATCCTTCAGATTGGGAAAGTAGGATAAGTTTAGGCAAGCCAAGGTGAGTTCATTTCATTGTACCAGTATTTCACCTGACGAAGCTACTGTGTTAGCGAAACATATTGTGTGACTAAGAATTTTGTGAAAATCGCATCGTTTGTGAAGTTGCTATGGATTTCCATAAAGTAACGGCCGAGTCGTCAATTAAAAAAAAAGATGACATCAATAAAGCATATATATTTGATATCAGAAGAAAGAGCTCTACCGATTAGGAAAATAAAAAACAGGGTGTTCCATTTAAAAAATACCCGTTTATGTAAAAATTTCAGGTTTACTATGCTTCTTTGCATTTTCTACTACCTACTAGAATCTAAATGCCAATTTGAACATTGAAAGACCAATATTTTTTTTTGCAATTGCATTACCTCGTTGGTCCCAGCACTGGGACCAAACGCCCCATAAGTCGAAACTTGTGCGGGGTTAGATAAGCAGACAAACACAAACATCCATGGCCTAACTAGGATTCGAACCTATGTCTCGGTGAGAGTCCCCATACGAACTCAGCGCCTTCACGCTCTCGACCACCGAGCCGAGATAGCTAGGTAGATAGCGAGGGGTCAACCACTATGTCCAATATGTATACACTTGGTGTCCAATCCCGATGTAATCTGTTCATTCCGAGGTTCAATCTTTGCCCAATATTCCTATTCTGGCAATGCAAATGTCCAATCACCTATTTATTATATTCAATAATATCCGATAATATCGGTACAATCCTACGTCCAATCTGTCCAATCCGTGTACGTCTTTGGAAGAGTGGATAACCCCTCGGTAGATAGCTGGTGATGACATATACAGTGTCTTTCAAATGTCTGGGAACGGTGTTATATTTCAGAAACGACTCGAAAAAAAAAAGGGGGCGCTGAATTGATTGCAATAAAATAAATAGCGAATTCCATTAGAAAAAACGAGTTACCCTCAATATCTGGAGAAACGTTGATTTGGCAACATTACGAATATCACCATTGGATTGGGCATCATCAAAAACCATCCTCTATAAAATTTCATGAATTTTCTCCCAGCTGTTTCTGAAATATGAGACCGTTCCCGGACTTTTCAAAAGCACTGTATATGTTATCACATTCCAATTGATTCAAACAAATAGGACAACAATTATTTTAGGGCTTAGGTTGTATATTATGGTCTTCCAGGAGACCTTTAGATAATCTAGATAACTATAGGAAAGTATCAATCCTTATCTTACTTCATAATATCTGAAAGAATTTTTGACGAAAACCGAAGAAATACTTGGTATCAGGTATCAACATCTTGTCTGAAAGTCCTTATGGGTCCCAGAGATCTAGTTATTCTGGGTCTGCTGCTGTTGACCTAATAACAGAAATATGCAGGGTTTCGCAGAATAACCTTCGTATAGGAGGTAATTCTGCAGGTAATAATAAGAAACTAGAAGTTCTTATGAACATGTGTGCGAAAATTCTGTAGTACTCTGAAGGTGAGTCCCTATATAAATGCGGTTGCCCCAATTATCTTTAGCAACATTATCACCATTGATCCCAGAATCATGACTCAGTTACTTCCGATAGCTATTTAGCTCAATTTGAAGATTCTTCAACTAAGGAATAGCCAAAATGCACAAAGTGGAATGAAATGTTAAATAATTACAAACCTCAAAGTCATTTCCACAAAAAAAAACAACTAATTTCCTGACTAAAGCAACGCAGAACATTGAATCAATCCTTCCGAAACTATGCATCGATTCGTATAAACGAATAGATTTCGGCAGGATGTAATTCAACGTTCTGCGAGGCATTAGCCAGGAAAGAAGCAGATTTTCTTCCGCCATCCACCATTGTTGTTGATTTTATGAACATTTGTGGAAATGACTTTTGAGTTTTGTATTTATTTGAAGATCCTAACATGAAAATTTGAATTTCAATCAGTGGTTTCAGGCATAAAGAAACACCTGGTTCATTGATTAAGCTCAAAGCCATTATTCCTTTCAGGAGTCAACAAATATGTGCCGACATTATATGCAGTCGTTATGTGAATCGTTGGTTTTTCATCAAAGACACCTTCTTCGGTTATGTGAATCCCGATACTGGTCGTGTGAATTGTGTCGTCTTGTTCGATCAAGGACTCGAAGTTGCAGGTGGTTCATATTCAATCGGGTTGCAAAATGGCTTTCAAATACAGACTCTCAGTAGACAAATCACGTTTAAATGTTGGACGAAGAGAAAAGCGAAAGAGTGGACGGAAAAATTGAAAGAGGTGGCAGCTACCACTGGTGAGTGTCAATCAAAAAGGTATCTTCATTTCAATATGTCTATACTAATTATCACATAAATGCTTGAAAATGATCATAAATAATACTGTGCCCGTCTCAAGTCCGTTCCCCCCGTTTTCCCCCCTACTAATTTTTGAACCACCTGTTATATCGCAATGAAATTTTGAAAGCTCAAGTAGAAGATAATTACCTACTTTTTTTATCAAAAAACGACAGCTCAAAGGTTCAAAATTGCGGCTGAGCGCCTTCTTGATTAATTTTTTTCAAATGGAACACTCCGCATGTTATTCTATTTTCGAAATCCCCTCATAACTCTCAACAGTTTTTCGGAATATTAACGTTGGATATTTTGGCCATTTCAATCACAACAATAACTCGAATTTTGTCCTCAATCAAGTTTGGATTGGAAAAAACCACAGAACAGCATTAAAGTTTTTGTAAGTGTGTATTAGACAAAACTTTGGAGAATTACGAATTACCAGGAGATTTCAAAAATACGGCATGTTCCATTGGAAAAATATATTCAAGGTGGCTCTCAGCCGCCATTTCAAAACTTCTAGCCGTCGATTTTTCATAAAAAAAGTAGGTTCTCATCTCCTATTTGAGCTTTCCAAATTCCGTTGCGATATACCAGGTGGTTCAAAAATTAGTAGGGGGAACCGACTCTAGACCGGCACTGTATAATATATGCTGGAACATTAGTCTGTTTTCTCAACCGACCTAACTTACTATCTAGACCGCATCTGCCATAAGATGAAAGCTCATCCATTCACAAGATCGAACTGGGGATAATAAGGTATGCAAATTTCTTCATCAATCATCTGGTATTTAACTAAGTCTAAGCCACTCTGTAGATGATCACTTCGACCAATCAAATTCGCGCTTTCAATTTATATGTTTTTTTGTTAGTGTCCTTTAGAGTTCCTCAATGTTCTTGACACTGCTGTTTTGACGTTTTTTGTATAGGTATTAGAGTACGGCCATTAAAAACGATTTAGAAGTAAATATGTTTTCTCAGAGAAGGACAAGAATAATATGTTTTTCGCTTAGATAATCGCTTCTCGCATCTTCCTTTCTCTACATGTTCAGGGAAGAGTACATCCATATATCTTTTTTGGTAGTTAGTTGGTGAGAGGTATAATATTGTCTGTTCATTGACCCAAGATTTGTAAGTGGCGCTACTCTATAGGATACTGTCAATAGCTCTTTTGTTTCCTCGTCAGTGACACTGTTTCAGGTTGAAATTGTCTTCTATTTTTTTCCAACAGTTCTCAGCCAGTCAACCATAGATATTGATGAAAGACAATTATAGGTAGGTAACTGACAACTGTGACGTTGACTTCCTTTTTTGAATTATCTTTCTCCGAATCCTTTTTAATTGCAATTTTCATCAATTATTTCTCCCAGAGTTTCTTGTTCTCTATTAATCAGTTGGGACTTATTTCTCGTTGTTTGTAGTCGTAAGTAAGTACTTCTAAGTAAGTACATTGATTTGTTCATTTTCTTTAGCTGTTGTACTGCTACCTAGTAAATAGCTTCTAGTATTTATTATTCAGTTTGCTCATTTCAAATAATTTTTCTATCTGAAGATTCTTTTATCTTATAGTAATTTCACTGTCTGATTTTGAGAGTTTGTGGGTTTGATTCTGCTGTGTATAATGTCGTGCATGAACTGTCGTCGTGTTCCATTTCGCACTCCGAGAGGTGATGTGATAATATAGGTATTATCTACATACTCCTTCCCCAATTGATGTAAATTTGAGGCAACGATAGGTTCAGGCAATATGCAATGCAAAATTGAATCGATCTGATCAAAGTCCCTATCTAAAATCAGGTGCACTAAAGACATCCGTTGATATTACTTGTTAACCATAATAAGTATCTAAAGAAAAATATGAAGAATGTCTTAGAGAAACGTTACTTCATAAATCAGTTTATTTTATAGTGAATTTGTTTTAGCTAGAGAATTTGTCCAACTGAACAAAAATCATTCATTCGCACCAGTTAGACTGAATGTGGCAGCTTCTTGGTTTGTGGATGCAGCTTCCTATATGTCTGCGGTCGCTGATGCCATCGAAAATGCGAAAGAAGAAGTGTTTATAACCGACTGGTGGTTAAGTCCCGAAATATATTTGAAAAGGCCGGCTATAGTTGGGGATCATTGGCAGCTGAAAAAATTATTAGAAAGGAAGGCGGTGAGACATTATTGTAATAACAAACCATTTTATTAGCAACTAATATGAATACGAAAATGTGATTGGATTGGTTAAGCCCATTTAAATAAAAGGAAACCATCGGCTTACATTAAATCAGAATGTCACAGCTTCATTCATGTCTAAAGTTGCATAGTGAGAAGAGAAGACCAGTTGATCACCAGTTGTTAGAATATATCTGCATACTTTATTAGGTGTCTTGATGAATACGTCTTGTATTCTCTCTTTCAATTGTTCTCTTATGCAAAAATATTTCTAGATTGTTTAATGTGTGTCTCATAAAATACAACTGCATAATATTTTTTCACAGAACAGGTGATGAAGGTATTTGTCAATTATTCACACAAAGAGATTTAGTGATAAGGGAACATAGTGAACAATGTATTTGCTGGATTCATTCTGTTATTTCGGTGAGCCTTCTATGAATCAGATATCTCTGTCTAATCTGAATATCACCAATTCCAATGAAATCAGTATTTAAGAATGCAAAAATACCCTGAATAATCACAATTACATAAGAAAATGAAAAAAGTAAGGTTAAATGTTGTTCAAAAGTATGGGGGCAGCGTGGGCGAAGTTGTATCAAAAGTCCCGGGGTCTCGATCCATTACCTACTATTCGGCGTATGTTGCATGTTTTGTTTCAACTCTTGGCGCGCACGAAAGGAAATTCCTCTGATGTCTGAAGTACCTAGGAGGATAGAGAAAGGAAGTAGGTGTTTGTTTGTTTTTTGAACTTTTGGAGGTTATGAGTTCTTGGGAATACTTCCATTGGCAAAAAGTTCTAAAGTTTTGCCGTTCTATAAGCGAACGAGTTTTGGTAAAGATTTGTTCACACAACAGATTTCAAGTGTTACAATGAAAGCATGTGCTGCCTGGGCTTGTCGAATTTGTCTGACTGGTATTGCTGGTGATGTAATGTTACAGAGATTTCTGAGGAACATTTCCCGTGGAAGTATCTATAGAAAAGTGAAAGGTCGCCGACTTTTCTAATGTAGTCAAACGATTAGTGGGTGTGGCAATATTCACCAGGCAGATATGGCTCTTCTCTGGATGGAATCTAAGAGCATCAGCTTATGTTTTGGTGCTGTATTCTAAAACTGTCCGTATCTGTGCTTTGTAGATCATGAGAAACTGTTGAGGTGTAAAGTAGATTTTTGCATGGAATAAAAAACCGAATTTTTGTGAAGCAGCTATCGCGATGGAGCGGATATGATTTTCCCATGAAAGAGAATTGCTGATGGAAATACTGAGCATAGATATAATGGTCTTGGTCGGAATGGTGGTACGAGACATTGTTATATCAAGCATACTTAGTTCTGCCTTTCTAGAGAAAATACAGGCTTGAATTTTGGTGGCGTTGAATTCAGCTAGGTTGTTTGCTCCCCAGGCTGTACTTGAAAAAAGTTTGGACGGACTGAATTGCCGAACATGTAGGGTGGATACGATGCGCAGTGGACCTCTATATTGTTGCAAACAATGTTTGAATAAAAATTATCATTTGTTAATGTTCGGCATTTTGTTAATTCAACGAATTATTCACAAAAACTCAAGATAATATAATCGCCGCACATTGTGCTTGGAGCAGAGACCAATCACCCTTGCGTACTTTTGTCTTAAGGGTGAAGAGTATGCGTGTATCATTCATTAATGTTTGGCATTGATTTTATATTTATTTTGAATAAAATGGAAGTATAACAAAAATACTAATGCTGAATAACCTAAGTGGAGTTTGGCCTTCGTGGTCCTGAAATCCAATTTTCGTTGATAATATTATTTGTTACCATTATGTAAATAACAAAAAAAATCTATTCGTCGTCATAACACATTTTCAAAACAACGTAATGAACGACGAACGGATTATTTGTTCTCCATTTACATGGAACGGGTTCAATAATTTCATTTGATTTTTTTTTCAATTACAGTAACTTGCGACATACTCCGAACAGTAAGCAATTCGAGTATTCGAGACCCCGGTTTTTTAATATAACTTTACCCACGCGGTCTCCATATTTTGGCACCGATTTTTTATCGGCGAGCTCATATCCGTGTAGTGGGGGTTCTTATACTGCTGAGTGTGAACAAATAAGACAAAAAACAAACTCTCAATCGACACCTTATCGAACGTCATAAAATGTTTGTCAAAAATGCCTACAGTGGAAATGAAATAGCATTTTGCCAATCATAGTATCATATGATCTGATACATCCTCTGTTTCCCGGAAGATTATCTGGCATCTATTGAACTATTTCGATGCAGTTTCAAATGTTCATCGTCTTAGTTTAAGTAAACATTGATCTCAATCTGTTTCTATTATTTTTAAAAACATTGTCCCAATTTTTTCCTGAAAGGACAATAAGGAACCAAAAAGTTATAACAAAATCAGAGGTAGAAATTAATTCGAACTGTACCTAAGATATTCAAAGTACCCACAAGTATACGTACTGAAAAAATTCCCTTATTCTTGAATCTCAATTCACACTGGGGTTTAAATTTCACTATACAAAATATTTTCACCTGTGAAAAATCTGTGTATATGTCAATATCAGTCAAATCGTCCTACTTCACCCCGTTTGACGGTACTATTTTTGCTCCTTAGAAAAGCGGAGTCAAAATCTATATCCTGCTATACAAGGAAGTAGAAATGGCTCTCTGCCTCAACAGTTACTACAGCAAACAGAAGTTGGTCGAGGGTCTTAGTCTAAATAAACCTTACTCTCAGTCGTATCTGTTGAGCTATGTGGTAGAAACTATAATTCCAGTGGGAATAGCAAGGAAATCTACTTCATGAGAAAATACAAATCTGATTGACAATATGTTTTTTATTGTTGACAGACAACTGAACTATTATAAATAGAATGAATGGCACACTAGATATGATATGATTTATTGCAGCATAAAAGGTTGTACATAAGTAAAATGCATAACACTTATCAGCCTAGTCAAGATACAATTATACAGGGTATGTCACGACGAGCTTACACTATCTCTATATCGAGAATCAGTCGGGAGAAACACATGAAAATATGCATGCTTATATTTTACAATACGTTCTCTTCATTTAAATTAATTTCAGCAATGCAGTGTTGCCGCTTCTATTAAAAAGTAGTAGCAACTTTGTTATTTCAAGTAGACTATCCTTCCATTTTTGAATTCTCCCTGAAGAGCTGATTTCAACGATATATCACACTTAGGGTCTATCGGAAATGATTACAGAGATATAGGGTGTTCATAATCGAGATTTTCCAACTTTAGGATTTGTTTGTGTCGAAACTAATCATTATTGGTCGAAACGGCTCACATGTCCCTTTCTCAACTTTTGATATACTATTTACTCATATTTAATCGGAACAGATACAGGGTGATCAGAGTTCTGAATCTCAAACCACCCTGTATCTGTTCCGATTAAATATGAATAAATAGTGAATCAGAAGTTGAGATAGGGACATGTGAGCCGTTTCGACCAATAATGAATCGTTTCGACACAAAAAAATCCTTGAGTTGAAAAATCTCGATTTGAGGGTGTTCCATTTGAAATATCAATGTTGCTACTACTTTCTAGTAGAAGCGGCAACACTGCATTGTCGAAGGTATTTTAAATGAAAAGAGCGTAAGAGATATAAGCATGCACATTTTCATGGATTTCTCGCGATTGACTCTCGATATAAAGATAGTGTAAGCTCGTCGTGACATACCCTGTATAGTAGTTGTAAAATCTAACATAATGATAACAAATAATCAATATGAATACATTCACAAACTGATTAAAATATAAGTTAAAATCATTTCAAAGTAATCATTATAAATACGTTCACAACAAAATTAAAAAAAATTAAATAATAAGTAAAACAATTTCAAGACTTAAGAAAATACTCTATGGAATAGAATCAATTTTCAAGTAGTAAACTTTTAAGTATAGTCTCAAATGATATGTTACAGTTTGCATAATTTTTGTATATAAGTTTAAACTTATTATATATTTTGATTCCTATGTAATTAGGTGATGATGATGAATATCACATTTTGATCTTGTATTATGCGAGTGTATTTCTCATTCTTCTCAAACTTATGCTCATTGTGCAAAAAATGTACGTATTATTGAATTTCATATTAGTTCCGTTCCCGTTAGGTTTTCTGATCATCCCATATATTGATAAATATTTTCACCTGCGAAATTTATAAATAACAGTCAAATCGTCCTAATTCTCCCCGTTTGACGGTACTATTTTTGCTCCTTAGAAAAGCGGAGTCAAAATCTATATCCTGCTCTACAAGGAAGTAGAAATGGCTCTCGGCCTCAACAGTTACTACAGCAAACAGAAGCTGATCGAGGCGTCTAGCAATATCCAGGTAATGAGGCATCCGGACCACGCGAAGGCGGGCGTCCTTCTCTGGGCGCACCACGAGAAGATGGTGGTCGTGGATCAGACTTACGCTTTCGTCGGTGGAATCGATTTGTGTTACGGTCGATGGGACGATGATAAACACAGGTTGGTCACAGAAAAATGTTCTAAACGCGGCTTAAATGATTTACTTCAGTTTTTTTGAGCCAGAGGGATAACCAATTATAGGCCTGTCACAATTCTTCCGGTTCCCTCAAAAGTATTTGAAAAAGTGATTCATAATAGGCTCTATAGACATGTACAGCACCTTATTGCACCAGAGCAACATGGGTTTGTTAAGCAAAAATCAACTGTCACTAATTTGATGGTCTTTAGTCAAGATGTAGCATCTGCTATCGACCAGTGCAAGCAGGTGGATGTCATCTATACAGACTTAGCTAAGGCTTTCGTCAAAGTCAGCCACAAAGCATTACTCAATAAACTGAAGAAGTTCTCAATCAATGAAAATTTGATATGATTGTTGGAATCATATCTTTATAACAGAACTCAATTTGTACAATTCAATAAACATCGATCGGATAACTTTATTGCATCAGGAGTACCCCAGGGATCTATTTTAGGTCCATTACTTTTCATCCTTTTCGTGAATGACGTTGGAGATTTTATAAAAACATCTAAGTTCTTATTATATGCTGATGATTTGAAGCTATATAAAATAATCAATGACGAAAATGACAAAATTTCACTACAACAAGACTCATCTCGTTCTGCAAGTCAAATGATCTTCTTCTGAATGAAAATAAATGCAAAACTCCATCATTTACTCGTAAAACTAATCCCATTGATACAGAGTACTGGGTGAATAAAACTAGACTAGAAAAGGTACAAGATTTCAGAGATCTGGGGGTAGTTTTCGAAAAAAAAATCATTTTCACCTCCCATATCAAGAATATTGTGAACTACAGTTACAGAAGCTTAAGTTTTGTGCTTAGAAATTCATATCAGTTCAACTGGAAAACCGGAATATTTCTATACAATGCTTTTGTACGACCCAAACTAGAATATGCCTCAGTTATATGGAATCCCAACACCAGTGTATACTCTGAAATGATAGAAAAAGTACAAAGGAAATTTCTGAGAAACCTTTACTACAGGAAACATAAAGAATCTGCTTTTATGATCTCATAAAGAAATCAACTCATGGAATTTGAGCAAAGAACACTAGAGTCCCGAAGAGATATCAATGATGTGCTGTTTGTTTCAGACATATGCAGTAATAAACTGAATGTACCTGATCTACTTAGTCAAATAAACATTCATGTACCTGAGGTAAAACTACGGAGAAGAAAAAATATTATTTTCTACATTGATGTTAAATCTTGCTCACCTTTTGGAAGATGTCAAAGAGCTGTAAATGAATATAACTGTGATATAGATATTTTTACATTTAGTAGTAGCGAAATAAAAGGCTGTTCTCCACCTCTTTAATATCCTCAAAATTCTTAGTTATAGGCTATATATGTTCAATATTTTTGAAAAAGTTTAGTCATGAACGTCTTGATTTTTTTATCTCAACTCAACTGTTTTCCCAAAACTTGAGTGTACTGTAATCTTTCTGTGTAGTGTATTTCTCTTCTTTTTTTTTGTGAGTAGTGTATTTTACTGTAGGATAGGAACCGAGATAGGAACTGTCTGTCTGTAATTTGGCCATGGCCTGTTGATTTGGCAGTATATATAAAGTGATATATATATTTCGTATATAATACAACAAGTGGCGGCGCCAGTGGTGGGCGCGGTTGGGCGAGCGCCCAACCCAAATTGTTCCCGCCCATCCTGCTAAACTAAACATTTGAGCAAAAAATAGATATAGAGAAAAGTAGTTTTTTTAGATTGCTTTCAATATTATATCTAACTAACCGTTCCAATGGTTAATGGATCAATCAACGTGTTTCCGGAATCACGAATAACAATGAACGTCCAAGAAATGCACGCCTCTGAGACCGACGCGGCCTCTGTGGGGAATCCCCTATCTCAGCTTGCTCGAATTACTACCAAAATCAATAACAGTTATGAAATGAATCATAATGTTAAAATAAGGACTTTATCAGATCTTGCAGTACTTCTGCAGGAATTCAATTTAGAATTTCATGAAATGAAAAAATTGTGTAACATTGCCATAACCGTACCCCCTTCAAGCGCCAGTTGTGAGAGGTCGTTTAGTGGCTTAAAAAGAATAGAAAACTATTTAAGGACTACAATGTTACAAGAGAGACTCACAGATTTAGGAATATTGTACGTTGAAAAAAGTATTGTAAAAGCAATGGACTTAGATATAGTTGTAGATAATTTCGCAATTAAATATAATAATAGAAGAATAGCGCTTTCCTAACCTACCTAAACGTTAGACTGTGTCTGTTATAGGTTATAGTTATATAATCATGCGTTTCCGTGTAATATAAATTTTGAAATAATCTCAGATTTTTTCTCGTCTTCCAACCGTACTAGTTTGTGTTTCACATTTATTCACAAATTCGCAAAACATCTATAATTAGTTGTACATTATACAATTTATATCTTTCATCTGAAACATTACCTAGATACCTAAAACATATTTTTGCTGCCAACAATTCAAATTTTTCTGCCGGATGTCGCCCAACTGGAAAGAACAAGCTGGCGCCGCCACTGAGGGTATTAATGATCATACAAATCCCTTCGATCTTGAGAAACCAATTATGTTTCTTGGCGAGCACACAAGCGCGAGTGTGGTTGCCTTAAAGCAACATAATGTGTTCCGAAAATGAGTAGGGATATTCGAAAATCATCAATAAAACGAGTTGTATTTGCTTAAATCATTTCACTCATTATTTCATGAATAAAAAAATGATTTCATGTCATATTTTCATTTGCTGTCGGTGCGTCGTGCAACTACGATACATCGAGATAGCAACTAAATTGTTTTAAAAATCGTTCTAAAATTATTCTATCCGTCATTCGGTTGCCCCCTTATGAGCAACCCTCAGAAGTCTTCGAGAGTTTTGTGCGAGCAAGGAATGATTGGGGCCTTACCTTTTAACGTGTGATCCCAAACACTTTCTTGGGCCATCAGAAAAATTTCTGCAGTCCCCGGGGATCGAACTCACGACCGGCAAGCGAATGCGGATTAGAATATTGACGCTCTGTCCGCACGGCTACCTGGCCCCTGGCACTAGACAGAACGCACCAAAAATTGTCACGCCTAACGTCTGAGATGTTTATAATAAATATGGTGATTGCACTGATGCGCTTTTGTTTTGCCCACACAAGACGACAATAAACAGTTGAAAATCGCAATATAAGGTTCTTTTTACGTCTTATTCTTATAGATGTCGCTGTTCGAATTCTGTTTGAAATAAAAATTATAGCTCAATTGAACCCTATGCTGGAACAACGTTGTAACCGCCAATATCGATAAAAATGGTATTTCCATGGAACAAGAACAAGACTGTATGCGACGTATACAATCCGCTGTCATGATAGTGGGGATTTTTATGGTGATTTCTGGTGTCATTTCGGTTAGTCAAAGTTGGAGAGTTTATGGAACAACGTTGTATGTGCTATCACGGCTTCTAGTTTCCTGCGTTCTTTCTTTGTTTACATGTGTTTGGTCTGTAGTTTATCGTCGTTATAAGCAGGAATGGACGTTTCTTTGAAAGACTCAGTTATGACACAACTAAATAATAATAAAAATGCTTTGCCTTTTTTCACTTGTGCTTTATTTTTGATCTTGAAACAACGTTGTAGCCGCCCTAGTTCCCTGGAATAACGTTGTAACCGACGTGGATATATAACGTTGTTTGGTTGAAAAAAGAAAAATATGCTCGTAAATCATAATTCTGCATGTGGTCAAGTCTATTTTGCGTATCATGCAGTCAAGTTCTTCCTTGCTAGTCATATCAGGCAAATATTTACTTCATTTGATGGAACAATCGAACATATATAGTTTTTTTCGATTTCCCAAAAAAAACATTTTTGGCGTTTACAACGTTGTTCCAGCATAGGGTTCAATTATCAAAACGTCATTACACACTACCGAAAATGGACGTACTTACACCATTTCTGTATCTTTTTTATCGTGATTGTTGTTGTTTGGTCTGATTGCCATTAAAATATGACGATGTCAGCGCCTCTTACGGATATTCAATGAACAAGAACCAAGTTTTAGCAGTTTTTGACCAATGTAACCATGGCAACCAGCCCTGAGTAACAATACCATCTTCTTCCAAACATCTCAGTCTCGTCAGAGGCCGGACAGTTTCTGTACTCTTACTTCCGCATGGCTCGCTCGCAATATTTGATGTGTCCTGCTTCTAGGCGTTAATGTCAAGTTTTAACTGGATAGAGGTCAAGTTGAGGTTAGCGAGGATTGCCATCTCAGCGGTTTCGACATTTCAACCTGATTTGCGACGGATTCTAGCGTTTTCAACATAGTCATAGCGGTTTATGTGGAGATATTTTGATCATATGAATTGGTGACGACGGATATGAATAATTCACTTACATTTGAGATAAAGAGATGAGCAGAGAAGAAAATGACAGGCGACAGGGTTAGTTTTCATCATTCGCGCCACTTTTCATTGATATTTTGTATATTCAATATGGTTCAAAAACTTGTAATGCTTGTGAATATTTCATTTTGCTTAAATAAGTATTGAAACTCATAGGAATCAATGTGACTTATAGCAATAAAGTCGCAGATCTGTATGATGTTGAACTAGAAATATGAGTTGATACATAGTTATGGTTTGACAGGTTTATCAATGTCTGAGTAGATCAAATACAAAACTCAAATACGATCGAGAAATTTTATGTTGTGATTTACCAATGTAACTACCTAATAGTACCGAATGAAATTGTATAGGAAAATTTACTTATAGGTATTCATTTTGTGTATTTTTGTTTCATTCTGAACAGACTGAATAAATGAATATGTCTACGATTTTTCATCTGATGTTATAAACTAACTGAAAATGAGGAAATATGATCAATAATATCGCTAAATCATGAACAAGAGTCGCTTCATTTAAAAAAATTTCGTTGGCGACTTCTAGCGGTTTTTTTCCTAACTTTTTGCGACATTTCACGTTCCGCAGCTGGCAACACTGGTCAGCAATGGCACTCGAGTCGGACCCGAGAGGTTAGGATGATGTTGATATAACAAATGGTTCTTTAAAATGTGATCATAAAAAGTTTGTCTAAAATTCTTATTATATGCGAATTAAAATTCAGTGCCTATGACGATTTTGTCTGAAGTTTAGTGTTGAGTGCTATTTATCCCTGAATATGAAAATATTATGACGTCCATGTCCACAGTTTGCGTCATGTAAGTAATTTTGATTAATATTTTGATCAAAGTACCAATGAAGAAGGGAAATACAAAATCGAAAACACAGCATATTTAGGTATCTAGCAGCCAATCTACAACCGAAAACAAAAACGACACTGATATTTCAACCAATCAAAAACGTGTATTCTGAAATGCGTGAAATAATCATTTAAATGGCAAATGACAATAGTCATTGTACTATCAGATACGGAAATGAAATTGATGACATACAAAGTACCTCAATGATTTATCGAACACAGTAAAACAAGAGCAATTTTGTCTTATAGCTGTAGAGAAAATTATGATTGACACACATCTGGTTATATCTTGGAACACACAATACATCATGAGGAATAAGGACGGAATTTTTATTTCATATTCTTATTCCTTCAACCTTTCAACCAATCCGAACAGTGTATACTCTCAATTATCTCAACTCAATATAACACTTTATATGAGCAGTAACCAAACACTATTCATGATGATAATGATTTTTCTCTTCATAAATAGGCTGGAAAATACTATAAAAAAAACACAAAATATCTAAATTGACATGATATCAAACGTCATTTGCACGCTGTTTATTGGTTAATATTCAACTCTATTCCTGCTTCATCCAATCATAATTTAATTCAATCTGCCTTGAAAAATAATAATATCTATATTATATATTCCTTATAACCTGTTCTCTATTTTCTATTTCTTATTTATTTGCATTGTGTAACGACCTTTATCGATATCATTGAAGATATTCCTCAATCAGTGTTGTGTTATAAATATCTACATGACCAACACATTATTCACTTCATTACCAAATAGTTTTATTAGCAATTTTATGAGAACAAATTACATTCTACATAAAGATTCCACTTATTTTGACCTCGAAATGAACATTGCATCACCAGTTATGTAATACTTATTTTAGTTTCATGGATAAAAGGCTATGTATTTACCTTCGCAATATCATAATGTAGTTCTGAATGCGAACGCATGCGCATCACAAAATCATCTTGCTAGATGAAAAGGCCTATAAAGTTTCAGATATCTGTATAAAAACGTACACTTCTCTTTCTAGATTAACTGACCTTGGTAGCATCACTCCCATGAAAAATACAGCCAATATGAAGCGAAAAACATCCAGTTCTCCTATGGGCGAGGCAATCTACCCCATTCCCATCCCCTACTGCAAACTAACACCGATTCCCGAAATCAAAGATTCTCAGCAACCCCATGAGAATGGGAATACTCGCCTTTTGCCCCAACTGGAGCCAGGTGACAACCTTCTCATGCCTCGCAAACGTTCTGCAAAGGTGAAGATAAACACTCCTGAAATCGATCGAAAGCATCATATTCTTGAGGCTATCAAAGACAAGGGCAAGGAGTTGATACATTTAGTGTATAACCCGCATGAGGATGATGAAGATGATTCGCCGGTACCTGAAACTTCGAATGCCAAGGTGAGTGAAGTACAGTGAAATCTATAAAAAACTAATTTTCAAAACTAGTATGTCCTAGTCACGAATTGAGTGTATAATGAGATGGGCAATGTTTGACCTCTCTTTTCATTGGTCTAGACGCCAGGTGAATTTACACCAACGATATCATTTTCATATGAACAATAGTTAGTTTACCGATTGTAATGGGTTGTCAATTGTCTGTCTATGAGCTGTCTGAAATGAAATCAAAAGTTGACAATATTGACTATAACTGTTTTATATGAATGGGGTTCAACTATTAAATGTTGTGCAGTTGCAATAATCGTAAGAGAAGAATTCGGTTTTCATTTACTTCCATTGTCTGATGTTAACAAGCCACAAACACCGAGGTACTATAACCTCAATTCCAATCTATATTAGTATTGTGTAATTCACTGAAAAACTGATGATTTCGTTGATTTTATATTCAGCAAAATGAATTGTCGATGTCAGGTACACAGATATGTAACTAGTTAATTATTAAAATCCGCAATAATTCTCGATTAATTGTATTTGGTGGGTTTACTAGTGTAAAGCGGGCTCTGCTATCCATGCCATCTACTGTATCCTTATCAGGAATATACTATAGGTGATAATTTCAACTGACTACTGATCATTGCATTTGAAAACATCAAAATTATTATATAAGAGCAAATTACAAGGAAGATAGTCATGAAATACAATTATTTGTGTTGTTCAATAAAATGAAACTGAAACAAACGCACATGATGATACTGACTGAAGTCAACTTTTTTACATTCTGAACTCCTGAATTCAGAATTTGGAAAAATACACAGTGTCCCATTCGAAAGTAAAAACCTGAAAGCAAAGCAGGAAGTGGCCCAATGAACTCCGCAATCTGCGTCAAAATTCGTCTTACGTTTTCATGGCTCCAGTTAACGTCCAGTTGCTCTTACCAAAGGCCGGGATTGGCGCAGTGGAAGAGCGTCCGTCTCACGACTGCAAGGGCGTGAATTCGATTCCCAGCACGAGCAAGGAACTTCCTTCAATATTTTATTCAGGAATTGAATATTGTAAAGTTTCGGAACATCGGCTGGGGATAGTCCTGCACGATTCGCTGTTGCGTTCCAATTAACAGTGCTGCTCCTAAAGTGGCGCATGGAGTTAGTTACAAAGCCTACACAGAACACGCAGAAAGAGATGCTGATGTGGTTGTGAGCATCAGAGAAGAAGTAGGACGGTGTATGTGGGTGGGTGTGGAAAACTACCAGCTGAGCGTAAGAGCGGGCCAATGCTGCTTAGTGAACCTCGGTCTCTAACGGGGGTTAACGAGAAATAAGTAGCAGGCCAGCCACTGCAACATATGGCAGTGAGTACATTACTTGCCTACAAAACACAGCCGAAAAACTCCGAGAGCTGATGGGCGGTGCCTGGAAAGGATGTTAGCCAGCTCTCTTAAGCGAACCACATCACTCATTAAAAACACCTTGGGGCTTGCAAAAAAGTCCCATCACGGACTAGTTGCTGACGTGCAAACGTCCCACACCAGTACCAGTACCAGTGCTCCTACCTACAGTGGGTTCATGAGGTAACTGTAAACAGCTACTGTGCTATAGAATATGTATTGTTTTTGAGAATTTTGTGAAAATGTTATCGTTTGTGAAGTATTTACATTCACTAAGTTAAAACTATTTTACTACTAACCAAACCGATTATGAAACTTGTTTTAATTTTTTTTAAAGATGCTCACATAGCGAAACGCATTTCGTGTTGATTAAAAATTTGTTTGGCTAGTGGTAAAACAATCTAGTGTAGTACTAGTTCAGTCAATTAACGGGTTGTAGAGATGACATGAAAGAGGACAGTTTTTTCGAGACTAGGGATATGTTTGGAGTAAATAGGACGTGAAAATTCCAAAAGTCCCCGAACTTACAAGGTGAGCCAAGTGTAGGGGGCGACGTAGAATGGTGCCTTTTTTGATTTCTTGTTCATATCACAAGAACCGTACGTCACAGAAAAAAATCAATCCATTCAAAATTATAGCTATAGCCTATCTTTCATTGTGTTCGAAATATTCGCAATTTTGAAAATTGCTTCTTTTAGCTAGTGTATTTTGACAGCTCAGTCTTCATTTTTTCACGTAGAAATTGAAAAGGATTCAATGACCTTATAAATGTTATGTCATTAGGAGGAGAGATAGGTTGAAAATCACTTAGGATTCGAAATGAGCACGTCCAATTCATTAACTATTCATATTGTTCCTGAAAAATGTTCAGTTCTGAAAAATGTATTCTACATTCTCGATAACTATGAAAGATAGGAAAAAAAACTTACTGATTTAATTCTGTAGACAATTTTATCATGTATATTACCACAAGTGATACTATTTTGCCGGAAATATCCAGCGATTGTTACAACAGCTTGTTGCCTAATAATTTCGCGAATGACATTGTTTATCAAAACTTTCGAGCCGTAGGTCATGAGCGAAATTGAAGTAAAAATAGTATCACGAGTTGCATTCGTATGAATATTCCATGATTGAGACAATAAACGAGCGCCTCGCGAGAGTTGCGCACCCTGCATCCATCATTCTGGCTTTTAACAGGATTGACGTTTCAAATGTCAAAAATTTTATCGCTGGAAAACTAGGTTGGTTGGTCACGTGTGGTACAATGTCATGAGCAAAATTGAAGCAGTAAGTATCCCAATCGATGGATGATTGAGACAACAAACGAGCAGCTCGCGAGAGTTGCGCATACTGTATCCATCATTCTGGCTTTCAATATAATCGACGTTATGAACGTCAAATATGGTATTGCTGAAAAACTAGGTAGGTTGGTCAGGTGTGGGTCAATTCGGCTTCTGTATGGGTTGCGTGCAAGAACTGTAAGATGACCGACCCTGGAGGTGAAAAATTGAAACACAACCTCACTTCTCTTATTTGTTTACAAATGATTGAAATAGTTTTTCTCAATTATTTTGGCATAGGAATCGTATTTTTCGGCTATTCATTAATTCGTACATGCCATCACATCGTGCTGTTGTACAATGCCTAAAAAATGCATCGAGAGACGAAGGAATCCGGTTAGTGCATTATGACAGGGATGATTCAAAAGTAAGTACCTACTATGGTCACTCACATACAGTTTGTATTTTGAAATTTGGTAATTTCTCTGATTTTTCATAGAAATTCCTTCTGCAATAGGAGGTAATAGAAATACTCGTGAAATTTCTAAAAAATCAAACGGGATGACTGGGAGTGTTGCAGACATTTTCAATCTATTAGCAGTATTAGCTTCTATTGCAGAAGTGGCAGAAGGAATTTCAATGAGAAATCACGAAATTTCATAATGAAATCTATATGAAATTATTATTCACCTGAAAAACCATATTCCTTCGTCTCTCGCTGCATTTTTTGTGCAACAGCACAATGAGAAGGCATGCTTGAATTGATGAATAGCGCAAAAACACGCTTGCCAAAATATTGTGAATAACAATTTCAATCCTGGTATTCATCTGTAAAAAGTAAAAAAATGTGAGGTTGTGTTTCAATATTTTACCTCCAGGGTCGGTCATCGTGCATGCGACCTATTGGTAGAGTAAGTCCGATTAAATTTAGTAAACAAAAAAATATCGCTGTGATGCAGAAGAAAACAAGAGTAGAATATCAACTATAATTTGGAATGGATTGACTTTTTTGCTGTGGCCGACCTTTCGTGAGATATGAACGATAAATCATAGAAAGGGACCTTCTCCGTCGCTCCTGCACTTGGCTGACCTTGTAAGTTCGGGGTAGTCTAAAAAAACTGCCCTCTTCCATGTCCTCTACACCTCATTGGGCGTGCATTGACTGAAGTATACTGCCAATTTCAATTTTACAAAACCGACTCGGTGTGTAGAACAGATATTTGTCAAATATGTATTAATGTACAACTTCAATCACAGATGTTGTTCCAATATAATCATTAATTATTGCTTTCCGAATACGGGGAAAGTTCCCTAGTTGCTTTATTCTACCTTTAGTGTCAACAGCGTACATACTAATATTTCCGTCATATTGGTAATCGATCTGTATAATGAAACATCAGCGTTTATGCACATCAAAGGAGATTCATTCATTAATGTAAACGTGACTGCATCACTTATTTTCGATACTTCGTAGTTGAATAGCTGCGAATTACCAATAAATATTTCAAGATACATTTGCTATTATTAGTATTTGCAATGTTTGATAAGAAATGTGCGGTTATAATCTTTCTTTCGAAAATGTCCACTTTACGGAGCAGCGTACAAGTAAATAGACAAAAGGTTGTAGAGAATTTTATCAGCTTTCATTTCTACGACGAACCGTATCTGACCTATAATCTAAAAGCCCAAAAGCTGAACTTTCTTACTGCCCCCCCCCCCCCCGAGGGGTGGATCACTTGAGGAAAATTTGTACACGTATTTAAAATACTCTCGATTTAGGAGTATTTATCGTATTTAAATCTATTTAAGATAGTATTTAGTGTTTATGTAAATATTATTGTATTTAAGATATTTAAAGGTAATTAACAGTATTTAAATATATTTAAGCCTATTTGAAAGTATTTGACCGTATTTAAAATTATTTGAGCGTATTTAAATGTATTTATTGAAAAAATGTTGTGTCAGTATACCAAATAAATTGTATTACCTTGGTGGACTCTTCATCAACGTCGAGACAAAACCGCTGAAGCTACGATTGTGAAAATTGGAAATAGGTTATCTTTTGTTATATAGGCAAATTTCCACTATGAAGGGGTAAAATGGGTTTTTTTTAGTTAAAATATTTTGAAATATTTTTTATGAAAATAAATACACACCGAACTTAAAAATTCACCCTTGAAAGTAGTCTAAAAACATAAAATGGATGTTTGAAGTTTGTATGGTTAAAAATTAGGTAGATGCACTCATTACATTCGCACGAGTATTCGTCGCAAATATAATTCGACGGATTCGAGCGTTCTTTCCAAAATTGGTAGGGTGTTCCATTTGGAAAAACTATCGTGGACGTCATGTTTCAAACGTGGATCACCCTGTATATTTATGTCTTCCTTATAAATGTAGCAAATTGAAGTTGAAACTCTCACGAGATTTCTCAGAAATGTTTAGTTTCGAGAATAGTTTGACTAAAATTGAATGTATCCTTTCACTTTACAAGATGACTTAATTTAACGGAGACCCGATATGTGTGATATATTTTTCGAATTCACCTTTTCATTGAGATTCTAAAAATTTTATATTTGGAAAATTTGTCATTACTCAAACGTGGATCACCCTGTAAATTTAATTTTGATGTGCAAATGTGGCTAATTGATTGTCTCAGGAGATTCCTCGGAAATGGATAGTTTGAAAGCACTGTACAAATGATCACAAACGGGAAGATCAGATAATATCTTTATGACGGACATGGTATGCTATGATATAGGAATATAAATTGAATATTGACTTACTTGAATTATGAACAAAACCACTCAAAACAAGTGACAGTAATAACACAAGAAATTTTCGTCCTGCAATAGAAGTCAGTAACGGTCAGTAACATGTAAAATCTTGTTTAAATATTTCACACCTGATTTCGCAGATTATACTGTAACGCGCATGCTTCATAACTATTTAAAACTATCTAAATATATTTAAATCTATCTTATTGTATTTAATTGTATCTGGGGTATTTAAGACTATCTGAATATATTTAAATCTATCTAATTGTATTTAATTATATTTCAGTGTATATAAGGTAATTAAAAATATTTAAATATATCTTGAATGTATTTAATGTATTTAAAGGGTATTTATAAATACTTTCTACAAAAATGTACACGTATTTGGAGGAATTTAAATATATTTAATTATATCTAGGGGTATCTAAAACTATCTAAATATTTTTAAATCTATCTTATTGTATTTAATTATATTTAAGTGTATCTAATGTAATTAAAAATATTTAAATGTATCTTGAATGTATTTAAGGTATTTAAAGGGTATTTATAAATACTTTTTACAAAAATGTACACGTATTTATGGAAGTGATCCACCCCTCGCCCCCCCCCTTCTTCAGGCTCACCGTCAAGAAGTCAGGACTTTTAGTATGGTCACTCTCTGAACACCTTGAATGAATTTCCAAAGAAATTGCTTAGGCCCCTGCTCACGCATTCTACACCCACTTTTGGGTCATTCATTGATTGGACTTGTCATTATTTCATCAGGATGCACAAACACCAGAGGAGTTACTCGATAGTCTCGATGGTTCTGCTAAGTTCTGGGTGGGAAAAGATTATGCTAATTTTATCGTGAAAGACTTCATAAACTTGGATTCTCCTTTCGATGATTTTATTGATAGAGCGACTACTCCAAGAATGCCTTGGCATGACATCGGGATGTGTGTAATGGGTAAGAAATATATGTGAATACCGATGCCAGATATAACACCAAAAGAGGGTGATTTAGGTTTTGAAGTACAAACTGAAATGGGTGATAGATCTCATCATTTCGATCAAAAAAGTGTGTATAAATATGTGTCCAATCTTGATAAATGTTTGGGGATACTGTTCAAAAAACCATTTTTATTAAAATATCTGCATTATATAAAAAGACATTGAAAGTACTGTATCGTTTACCATATGATACACCAACAAATCAATTATATAAAATAACTGAATCATTCTCATTAGAAGAAATGTTCAAAATTGAAAGACTGAAAATTACATACAATATCATAAATGAAAGATTGAAATCTAATTTTATTTTAACACGAAACAATGAAATTCATGATTACCAAACTAGACAACATGGTTTATTTCATCTTGATATGGCTAATTCTTCTATAGGCCAAAAAAGATTCACCCACGCTGCTCTCTTGGAATATAACAAATTACCAGATAATATAAAAAATTGCAGAAATACAATAAAATTCAAATACCAACTTGAAAAATTTATTATTTCTGAACGAAATAGATGATTTTTTTTCCTCAACTTTTGATTCAAATTGATTTTTGCTCACCAATATGAAATGATTTGTCAAAATTTAATACTTAATGTTTTCAAATATTATATTTATTAGTTTATCATAATTGTATAGTTTTAGGTATTATTGTTAGTTATACTTCCTTATACCAGAACTTGATTCTGACTGGAAGTAACATTTTCAATAAATAAATAAATAATTATTTGTTTCTATTAATTGAAATATCGCACACACTTCTGAAGATATCAATTTGAATTTTGGTATTGTCAATACTTCCTAGGAGATCGACGTTTTTGATGGTAGAGGCTTCTTTATTCCCCCCAAACTTTTTCGTATTACGCCTCTGAGATCTTCCAGTCACCAAATAGGGTGGACCGTTCAAATTAAAAATTTCATTCATCTGCATTTAAATTTTTTTCGAGAAATGTACCGTTTTCGAGATAAATAAGCATATCTGTGCAATTTTATGTTAATTTTGCCAATAAAATGTACCAAATTCCAATCTGAATCAGTAGCGGGGATGAAGAGGGTCAGAAGGTCAGGTTGCTTTTAACCGACCAATGAAACGACGACGCGGAAAATTCGTGTTAAGCCACTGGTTAAGTCCCATCCAGTTGTATCCATATACTATTCACAGTTCTGAACAAACGTAACTCCTAAGCAACTAATATGATGTTGGTATCGGAGTTCCGATTGTGTCGAATTTTTTATTTATTGCTTGATTGTAATTTGTTAACTTGTGAATGTGCTTTTTCAGGTTTACAGTAAATTTTTGCTCATTGCTTATACTTTTAATTGAATTTGGAAGAGAAATTTGACATTTTGAAGGTGCAGATTATTTCTGTTCCTAATGTTGTATTCATGAATGTCATTATAGTACGTAATTGTCATGTTTGTGTTCATATTGTGGCGAAGAATTCTATGTACAAATTCACACTGTTCTAATTTGAATAAAACATCAAGTTTTTTATTTGTGTTATTTGGTATAACTTTGTATTTGTCCGATTCTGTAAGGAGAATAAGCTCTTAACCGATCTATTTTGGAATATTTGGCACCTAATTAATTGAGTTGGATTGGTTGTGCCCCAAGTTACTATTAAGTATCTGAAAATGGAGAGAAAAAGAGAATTATAGATCATCCTCTTGACAGTCAATATCATTTGAAAAAATTAAGAAATAAAATAGCATTCAACTGGTTGGAAAGAATCTTCTTGAGGAATGTTCTTAGAATTTAAGAGAAAATAGATCAAATTAAAATGTTTCAGAACGGATATGCTAATTTATCTCGAAAACGGTTCGTTTCTCGGAAAAAATTGAATAGCAAAAAATGCATTTGAATTGAACGATTCACCCTATTTGATAATTGGAAAATATCAGAGGCGTACTACGAAAAAGTTTGGGGGGATAAGGAATGCCTATACCTCCAAGAACGTATCACCCTGTGAATTTGAAAAATCCCTAAAATGCTTGGAATGATGAATTCCTAGAAAGCATTAACCACAGCAAATTTCATATTGATATCTTCCAAAGTGAGCGAGATATGTTAATTAATAGAAAAAAAAAAGAAACTTTGGCCCCCTGTAGATCCGCTACTGATCGAGATCGGATTCATGTTACTATAAACTTTTTGAATTGAATTGATGAGATATATCACTTATTTCAGTTTGTACCTCAAAACCTGAATGGCCCTGTAGAGAAATTAATTGATATCCAAGATTTTGTGATTTCTCCGCATTCTTCAGGATATTGTCCTTAATGTCGTATTATATGGACAGTGTCCTGGAAGATGCTGAAGAATCAAATACTCTTTCAATTATTATTTATTTGCACGTTTGCTGAAGATGTTGCAGTTTTGTCATGGGATTTTAAGAGTTGCACAAAATTTGGTTATAGTTCTCAAATTTTCACCTTATAATAAAAGATAAATTCGTAATGATTTTGTATATTCCTTGAATACCTTTTTGTTTCCTAATTCTTATTTTAGGTGATGGAGCTAGAGATGTTTCAAGACATTTTATACAGAGGTGGAACGCTACAAAACTAGAAAAAGCAAGAAATAATGATTCATTTTCTTATTTAATGCCCAAGAGTTATATTAGACATGATACTCATCCTGCAAGTTTTACTCATGGAACTCATAAAGTGACATGTCAGGTATGTATTAAGTTTCGAAATTTTGCTAATGTAGAGTGCCTAGAAGATCTGATGTTCAATGTATTTTGAAAAGTGAGGACACACTTGTCACCTGTCACCAATCTCCTAAAACTGTTATCATTTTTCAGCTAAATTGTATATTCACACTCCAATGAAGATAATGTTCAAATACTTCAACAAGGAGAAATATTTACCTAATGCATAATACTTAATATCTTTTGTCGGTTATCTTATTGGTATCTCTGGAGTCCCAACTATTCCTTTGGTAATTTCCAATCATATTAAAAATATACAAATACTATTATGTACGTTTCTCGAGAAAAGGTGATTGGTTCTTGTGAGATACAATCAATAGCAAGTATTATTTCGTGCAAATACATCAAATAAAATTTTAATAATCCCTATCTGTCAGTTACGCACGATGTTCTTTGAACATTATTGGAATTTCCTTTCGTGTGCTCCAAGCGATAAAAAAAGGTTAGGTTTACGTAAAAAATGATCCGTTCAATGGAAAGGTACAGAAAATGATTTGTTCAACTCTATAAAAAGCTTCAAACATCAGATCCTCTAGGTACTCTAGTTCAGTTCCATGTAGAGTTCCTTAATGTACTTGACACTGCTGTTTTGACGTTTTTTGTTTACTAGAGTACGGATACTCGAAAGTGATAGTGATAGTGAGACATAACCAAAAACTATTTTTAAATAAATCATATGTTTTGTCAGACAAGGACAAGAATATGATTTCCGCTTAGATAAAGGCTTCTCTCATCTTCCTTCCTCTACATGTTCAGGAAAGAGTACATCCATATATCTTTCTTTATACAGTTGTGTGCATAAGCAAGCCTCACAGCAGCTATTGTGTGTCAGGCTTGTCAATCTTGATTAATCTTCTTATCGACATTGTCGCGTAAATGTGTACGTGTACTACTTTTTAATGAAATCTGGAACATCATAGGCAGGTTTACACCATACAAATCTTTCACGACTTATTTATGCATACAACTTGCATCCATATATCTTTCTTTGTATTTCATATTTGCATTGGTATTGGTATTGGTATTAGGTACTATTACTATGAAATTATAATGAACTGAGAAGAGAGTGTAGCACAAAAGTCCAGAATGGGGTTAAAATTGATAAATTACAACCAATAGAACATACTTTTATTTCAGATAGAACATTTTTGCTTACACAAGAGTGTTAGGGAATAAGTATAGTTGTCTAATATGAAGGAAATAGTATGATGGATTTTCTATACTTCAATTGAGATGAATGATAAGATTTTCCAAGACATACGGAATAGTAAACCGTAAAATATGGCTAAACACTGTACAGCCTTCATTGTTGGTTCGAATCTGGCCAATAATTCAATAGCAATATATGGTGCACGGATCGAGTGTTCTTGTCCTGTCAGCATACTTTGGCACCGCAGAATTTTTTCAAAATCCATTATAAGCTTTAGAGGTCCCGCACATCTCAACTACGCATAATTTCAGACTTGGTATTTCAAGTTTGAAGAAGTGATATCCAAATTATTCAATTTGACCAACTTTCTGATTTTATGTCATGTACGTTCGTGTACTGCCAGTTCCCACTTTTTCCATCAAATTATTTGTGGTTATGTCTGACTGTCAGTGCTTGCCATAGTGTCCGTAATCTCAATTCGCGATAGAAAATAACACGTCGCTCCACCTGACGGCTACATTTGAACACTTCAGAGGGGTTTGTTCTGATGGATGTGACCAATAAGCACAAACAAATGTCAACCAATGAAAACATACCGCTTTGACAGCTTTCAAATTGTCGTTTCGCATGAAGAACCTAGTAAATAGACAGATGACCTCCTATCCATTCGTCCGTGTGTACTGCATGTTGACTGATCCATATGTCAGCTTGTGTAAATCAATATGTCATCTGAAATGCTCTGATTTTGATTCTTATTTTGTCAGGAATTTAAACATTCTCCTATGAAAGTGTGTGCTGGAAGTGAAAAGTATAATACATTTATAAAGCACGGTGCTAAAGACTGTTCCCTCATTTCTTGCATATTTCCCTTAGGAACTAATACAGCTCTGTTTAGAGGAATGTCTTATGTACCTTGGTATAAAATTACTATTTCAGTATTGAATAAGTACATCAATGTTTAACACCGAATATCAGAAATAAAAGGAACTGATGGTATTTCCTGTTTCGAATTTTGAAAAAACATTGATGATGGCTAAAACTAGGTCGACACACATTCAAACTACCTTTCATCATACATTCTTGAATTCAGAATAAAAAAGATCATGGAATCTGTGAACACAACATAATCAGAACAGTATTTGAAAGAAAAGTAGATGGTTCTACGAACACGAAACGTCGCGTTGAGAAATCAATATCACCACGTTAAATCTATGCTATGGAAAAGTATCTTCAGTTTTGTATCTCCAATAATAACGTAGAAAAAAAAGATTTTACAAAGATTCACTCTTTTCGATATAACTTGAAAACTGAACAATTTTGAAAATTTTCGAAAGCCGTTAGTATAAACCTCAGAATGCGCAACTTTTCTCTCATTTAACCGAATTCGTATCTCCCGTTTCCGAGGTCCCCATGCTGTGCAACCTTATCTTGGTCACACACTGTATACTCGCCTTGTAGGTTTTTCATGTATAACGATAATGTTTCAACGTTAAGCTTCAGGGGTGCGTTTTACTTGAGGGTTCACAACGAATATAATTAGTAGTAAGACTATAGTACTTCAAAATATTCGGGTTATACATCGATAACTTGTTGCATAAATTCAAAGAGTGCCAGTTTGACAGTTGAAATAATCCGACCGCGAAGCCACATTGTTAATCAATTGATTAATCCTGTTCGTATCACGAGTATAACTCTGATATTCAAAGAAAATCACAACAGGACACAATATAGTTGCCATGATCCTATCATTCTATTGTTCAATTTGTTGTGTGTCAACCAGGGAATCAGGCGCCGTATTAGGTTTGTCTTGACAGGGTGTCTGGAAAGGTCATGTCGTAAATGATAGAGATCATACACTGAGCCAAAATATTGCTGGTACTTCATATAGAAAAATATCTACCGTAGTATGCGCAGAACCGGTCTAGTACGGTGCTGATGAAAACTAGAATACTAGAAAAGGTGAATCTATTCTAAGTTGTATTACCTGATACAGAATAATGGAACAAAAATTGAGATTTTTTACTAGTGAGTTTCTTTAAGGTCCTTCGAAGCGTGAGTTGTTGGTCTTGTGGATTTTTCGAGTCGGACACGGTTGAACAAAGTATTCACGAGGCATACATTGACGCAATAACGAAAGCTCAGCATTATATCTACATAGAGAATCAGTTTTTCATAACTCTATCCTATAATAATCCGAACACCAGGAATCAAATCGGAGAATCCTTATACAAGAGGATATTACGAGCATACAAGTGAGTAGAAGGACATTTATCATTAGATTTTTTTCATTCAACTTTTGACTTCCCTACATAAGAATAATAAGTGATACTTCATCGGAACACTAATGTTGAAAGTGTTCCACGTGAATCCTTCAAGAATTATTTTTCACACTAGTGAAATAAAGTTACATTTTTCTATTTTGCATCTTCTATTGCGATACTCAACTTCTATTTTCCCAAGGTTGGTAACATCATACCTGCGAGCAAAGGTCGAACATGGTATGTTCTGTATCAGAAATAAAAATTATTCATACCATTATTACATTACAATAATTGAGGTTCTGGAATGGCCACAAGAATATATGTCCATATTATCAAACAAATGAGCTGGCAGATTGATATGAAAAAGACAAGAACAGGAACAAGAATAAAAATGAAGAGTTATGCCAAAATGTATGAAAATTAGATTCAAAATTGCAGAGTGATACATGGCAAAAAAGTGCAAGACCTATAAATCTGGTCGTTGATAATGGAAATGTTGAACAAAAGGAAACTGTCACATTTTTAGGTGTCTCCATGGATGAATGTTTGGATATTTTAATGCTCGAATCTTGTCTAAAAATTATCTTCTCTTACATTTCTATGAAGAAATATACGTTTCTCATTGAATAAACAACTTTTGAACTTCTATTTTGCTTGTTTGTGGGGGTAATTCAGTAGTAATGATCGACGTGTTGGTAGCACAAAAGACAATATTACGATGTATGTTCAATATGCCCAGGAGAACTTCTTGTAGACCGATTTTTAAGGAATGCAAAATTCAAACTATCACTGGTATTCATATATTTGAAATGTGTATGTTTGTTTTTAGGAATGAGGAAAAGTTCAATTTAAATTGTGACCTTCATAATTATCATACTAGACAGAAAAATAATTATTATGTACCTTTTGCAAAACTGAAAATCAGAGAGAATGCACCAAATTTTTTAGCACTAAAGCTTTTCAACAAACTACCCAATAATTTAAAGACTATCGTGAAGATTAACTGTTTCAAAAGCCAACTCAATGAATTCTTGACATCATCATGTTAATACTTTCTTAAAGATTATTTAACTTAAGGATGCAACTTGATGATGCTTCAGAAGTGTTTCTTTCACTATGTGACTGGTTTGTGAATGAAAGGTTGATTTTGAATAAAGAGAAAACAAACTGTGTACTATTCAAAACAGGTCGTTCCAGTATGATTACTCCAGAGACTGTCAACTTAAATAATCAAGATATTACTACAACTAGCTACACCAAGTTTTTAGGCATTACTTTAGATGAGTCTCTGTCATGGAAAGGGCATGTAGGCATACTAAATAAAAAGTTGAATTCTGTCTGTTACACCCTGAGGGTGATGAAACAATATTTAGATCAAAAAGTTCTGAAAATAATATATTTCTCTAATTTTGAGGCATTTTATCGCTATGGAGTAATTTTTTATGGAGGATCTAAAGAAATTGATATAATTTTTGCAACTCAAAAAAGAGCGATGAGGACAATATTGAACTTAGGTTTTAGAGAGTCATGTAGGGGAAAATTCAAGCAAAATCAGATATTAACAGTAACAGCAGTATATATTCAAGAATGCCTATTATTCAAATTTAAAAATGAGGAATATTTCAACACAAATCAATCAATTCATGAATATAATACTAGATCTTTGGATTACATTTATCCCATACATCGACTTTCTCTGACTGAAAAAGGAGCTCATTATAGCTGTATTAAGTTATATAATAAACTACCTACTAATATAAAATCAATTACAGGTTTGAATTGTTTTAAAAAGGTTATTCACAAACTTTTATTGAACCTTGAACCTTATGAGGTGAAAGAATACATGGATGCTATACTATAGACATATAGACAAAGATTGTACCTACCTGTCACCTATACTGTATAATTTACTGTTTCGACGACTTTCGCTTTGAGTATTGCTACTGTAATGTCATTTACTGTACCTACTTCTTTGTCGAAATAAAAGTTATTATTATTATTATTATTATTATTATTATTATTATTATTATTATTATTATTAATATTTCACTGTTTTGTTCTCTTAACTATTCCTACACGGTTTTTGTAACTATCAAAAGGAAAATAGAGTTTATCATTATTATTATTACAGTCTGTAATTTTTATGACTTGATAAATAATGAATCATTGATTGTTGTCCTGAAAATATAATAATAGCTTTCATATAATTCAGCTATCACATTGAACATTTATGAGTGAATTTGCTGGTGATCAGTACTTTGTATGGTATGCTCAATTCATTATATTCAAAGGTTTGGTATATTTTGAGGTTTCCACATTCTGTAGAATTAAAATCATTCACAGCCTTTGAAACAATTGCTCAGTTCACGAGTTGTGCAACTTGAGTCTTCCATGAACATTTTTGACATTGAAAATCCAAAATTCCAATCTGCCAATAATTTTGAGTTGGAGAATCACTGTTCCCTTTTGATATTTCAATAATTGGGTATGTGTACAATTGCATGTTATGTAGAGCATCAATCAAATTCACTTTGAATTTACTGGTTTGATTGAATGTTTTATGAATGTTACCAACCACTTCAAATGTTTTATACATTTTTATGTTGTGTCAATTTTTGGATTGAAGATAGTAAAAATGAATAAGTTGATGCAAAATAAAAAATAATTCCTCTAGACATGAAACGTTTAAACCTAGAAATTATGTTTTTGCTTTCATTTGCATCCCATTGAAGTAGTTAAAATAAAGGACTTCGATGACGAGATGTTTCATGATTTATAGTGATCAAATGATTGTTTCAGGGCTAAAGAAGTATTCCGTGTATTTGTAATAATGCCTCTCCTGCCTGCATTCGAAGGAGAAGTAGGAGCAGCTTCAGGAACATCACTTCACGCAATAACTCATTGGAACTATGCTTCAATATCTCAGTAAGATTTTGATATTTATCTGATTATCTGTGACATCAATTCCATTCCTAATACATTTCCCTCTAGTCATTTGGTACAAATAATCTGAATGAGAATATTAATATTTTGGAGATTCAGATTAATTGTGTATGCTGAGCTTCAAGAAATTGAATTGTAGCCTTTTATGCTCAATCAAACGGTTCTGAAGGTGATGTGATGTTTGTTACATATACTGGGTGTTTCATGAGAAGACTCACATAGCCAAATGGTTTTAGAAGGAGAAATCAATACGAGTTGATGTATATACAGGGTGATTCACATAAGAACCGACATAGAGCAGGGGCATGTAGGGGGTCCCAAAATATGGCAATTTAACGCAACTTACCTCTATACCAAGTTGCTTCCCTAAGGAGTCATAGGCTTTGAAAGTGAAGTTATAAATTTTGAAAAAAATCAATATCTCCGTTATTCTCGGATTTAAAGCAACCAAATTTGGTACAGTTTGTGGATGTATTTAGGGCGTTACTTGACAGTAACTAGAGCTTAATTGAAATTTGGTAAAGGGAGTATACCGGATGGCGCACCATTAATATTCAACAGAATTTTGTTAACCCTTGATGGATTTCAAGAATCTTTGCTTTGTTGTGTGGGAAATTCAATTCTTAAACTTTCCTTACTCTAGTAATTTTTTGAAACACCTCATCATTTTCATCTCGAATAACTGAAAACGCGCGCTCTTGGTGTGTTATTATTATTATTGGTATTTAAAATCATCGAAAATTCAGAAGTTGGCTATAAAAATAAACGAACAACAAGAAAGTAGGTCATTAATTGTGATCAGTAAAAATTGGCTGGCAAATTATTATTCAGATACGTAACAAAATACGTAAAGTAAGTACAGATACAGAAATGTGAAAAACTGGGATTAACAACTAACTAAAATAAACACAAAAAACTTGAAAAACAACCAGAATAAACAATTGTTCATCGATAAATTACTTAATTGAACAACTTACTTGCTTCATTGTCAAGTTTGACGTTTATTTTCATAGCCAACTTTTGAATTTTCGATAATTTTAAATAACACACCTAGAGCACGCGTTTTCAGTTATTCGAGTTTTTGATGGAAATGATGAGGTTTTTCAAGAAATTACTGGACTAAGGAAAGTTTTAGAATTGAATTGCCCACATAACAAAGCAAAGATTTTTGAAATCCATCAAGGGTTAACAAAATTCTGTTGAATATTAATGGTGCGCCATCCGGTATACTCCCTTTACAAATTTCAATTAAGCTCTAGTAACTGTCAAGTAACGCCCTGAATACGACCACAAACTGAACCAAATTTGGTTGCTTTAAGTTCAAGAATAACGGAGATATTGATTTTTTTCAAAATTTATAACTTCACTTTCAAAGCATATAACTCCTTAGGGAAGCAACTTGGTATAGGGGTAAGTTGCGTTAAATTGCCATATTTTGGGACCCCCTACATGCCCCTGCTCTATGTCGGTTCTTATGTGAATCACCCTGTATATGAAAACAATTTTTGACCCTCCATAACGAGAAGATACACGGTATTATGTGAAATTGCTATATAACTTTGATGGCCGATATTACAGAAATGATCCATCGTGCTGAAAATATTCAAGATAACATATCGTAAAAATAAATATCCAGGTCCGGACTTGGAAAAATTTCATGTTTCATTGTTATGTCAAAAAAGTTCACTTTGTGACCACTTTTCTCGAAAAATCCCATCATATTCCGAAAGATCAGACAAAATGCTATAAGAACTGCTCTTCAATTTACACGGCACACTTTGACCGGTTCAATAAAAAAATATGGAACAAAATTGTTCCAATGAATTTTAAATTTCGACCTGGCTGATAACTGTCAACTTTCAACCGGTATCATGTGAATTGATTTTTTCTACCTTTTTGTTGAATATTAATTGACAGAAAGATAGACGAGAAGAAAAAACACAATTTTTTTATCGAAATTCCAGATAGATATTCTTATTCCTGACTTTGTTTTATGGGTGTCGCTTGAAGTAATGATAAGATATCTAGTAGGCCCTGTTTTTCATTTGTGTTACGAGACGTGACGTTTGTTGATAATCCGAACTGATAGGTAGGTATTACTAGGCTAGTACTAGGTAGGAACCAACTGATGATATTACAACATGAGGATTCATGTGCCGATATTATGGTGATTCATGAACTTAGCTCCATTTTTTGTTATTGGTACACTTCTGCAAGTGGTATAAGGATGCATTTGCTATTTATTCGAAGTTCCTAATGTTCATCCTCGTGAAGGTTTTACTGCAACGTTTTCTTGGGTCTGGAAATAGTCTATGGTATTAAACATAGCATAGCATTTGGATTCTCGTCTTGTTCAGCATTTGGAATATGAAGTGGCACCTAGGTGCAAGAATATTTCGATTACCAGTGTTTAGCTATCAACAAAAGCCACGTTACATAAAATAAAAATAGGGCCTACTTTATAACAAATTTATAAAATAGAGTGACGAGTTATCATATCTATCTAGAAGTTCGGTCAAAAACTAACATGTCAAATCATAAAAAAAATCAGAACTACTCTCTTCTGTCAATCTCTATCCAATAAAAATGTACAAAAAAAATCAATTTACACAAATCCAGTTAAAAGTTGAGAGTTATCAGCCAGGTCGAAATTGAAAATTCATTAGAACGTTTTTGTTCCATATTTTTTCATTGAATTGGTCAAAGTGTGCCGTGCAAATTGAAGAACAGTTTCTATAAAATATTGTCTGATCTTTCTGAATCTGATGAAAGTTTTCGAGAAAAGTGATCACAAAGTGAATTTTCACGATGTAACAATGAAACATGAAATTTTCCCAAGTCCGGACCTGGATATATTTTTTTTCATAATATGTTATCTTTAATAATTTCAGTAGAGATACGTCGCTGCCAAATTTCAGCAGATTACGATGAATCATTTCTGTAATATCGGCCATCAAAGTTATATAGCAATTTTTCTTTTTTTTTTATCGGTTTGTGTTATTATTCTCATTTTATTTATATTAGGGTCGCTTACAACATATTACGATATATAAGGGTTCTAATAGCTTTATCCACTCGTCGCACTAGCTCGAACTTTTTCGGCACCGAGTGCGTTTTGCGTGGTCCACTGAGAATTTCAAGAAATAACTTTTCTCGAGAAATGATTTTCAGAACTGTGCTTGTACGACGGTGCGATACACATAACCTCAAATATTCGAGTCACGAAGTGGGAAACTGTTTGGAATTTGAATAATTATGAATGTCTCATTGGAGTTTATTACTATTGTTACAATAATTTTCGAAATCATGATGAAGAAATGATGATTGAGATACAGAAGTACTTCGTTATGAAAAGGCGTTTACAGAAGATTCAAAATCAACTAAAAGTTAAAGAAAGCTATTCAGATGTGCAGGTATTGAACATATTTGATTGTTGATTCAGTAATGATGAAAAATACTAACTTCGTAAACGAGACTTCAATGCTACATCACTATCGTCAAATGATTCAATTGAACATCATTGACAATGAACATTGACTGTTTCTGGCTGGTTTCTGGCATTGTTCATAGGGAAACCACAATAAGAGGTAGATGAATCTATTTCATGTGGACCAACGGAACCAAATGTACTTTCAATAATTCGACTTTTTGATTGACAAAACATTTATTATGAAATTTCTGATGACAAGATGGTCGCACCAACTCTCTATTTCTATTCCACTGCTCTGTGCTGGAACCGGACTTTATGGAAGAATCGAGCCAGTGCCACTTGAACTTGCTCTGTGCTAGTGCGCTCTGTATATCGGCGAGTGGAAAACGCTATAAATCATCTTATCAATAAGGGAATTACATTGTTATAGTATGTTCAATTAATACCAGATGAACAATTGCAATCAATCAGTAGCCATGAGATTTGTTAAATTGTCACTAGAATCACAATGGTGGTTGGTTGAATTTCTAACGCACTGTTTTCTAATCGTCATCAAAATCACGTTCATCACGTGTATTATTTTCAGGTTAACTATGTGTGAAAACCCACAGAAAAATCAGAACTATTGGGGGTGAGGGGCGTGAAACAGTGATGTGTTCCTAACATTCATGTAATCGTTATTTTTTTTCTTTTTCCATATTATTATTGCCTCAAAAACGAGAATTTATCTCAAAGCTCATCAGCATAAGCCATGAAGCTGGAACTACACTGTTTAATCTCCAGAAACTGAAACTCCAAAATACTTCTGATTTACTTCCTTTTGATATAGGTATTCAGTATAAGTTGATCTGAACCTTTCAGGGGCAAAGATGCACTTCTGATTAGACTGAAAGAAGCTGGTATAGAAGATCCCTCAGAATACATCACCTTTTATGGCTTGAGGACCCATTCGAAATTGAATCAGGAACCTATCACTGAACTGATTTATGTTCATTCTAAACTGATGATTGTTGATGACAAATTGGTGATTTGTGGATCTGCGAATATCAATGATAGATCTATGATTGGAAAGAGGGACTCTGAAGTTGCAGTGCTGATAGAGGTGAATATTATTAGTCTTTGTTCACTATTAACCTAAAAAAGATAACAATATTGACATACAGATTGTTCATCCAATCTTTACATATAGGAGTATTGAGAGAGGATGGCATTTGGCAACATGGTAGTCACAGAGAGCAGCGCTCACCGTTAGACAGTTGGGCGCATAATAAATACAGGGTGTTATTTAATGTTATTTAAGTGTGTGGATGAACTACAAGGGGCGATTATTCGGGTGATTCTAAGAAGAAAAGTTCATATGAACACCTGACCTTCGTTTTCATGATACAAGTTGTTTAAGTTGGAACTGTTGGAAGTATTGATTGTTGTTTTTCATGATTTCCCTGTATAAGCTCTCATGATGGCAAAATTTAGTCTGGTTTATGACTGAGAAACTCTCAGAATTTCAGACATTGATGTTATTGGCTAATCCCAATGGAAGGGTCTTTTGAGGGCACCAGCTATGCTGATGATACCAATTTACTAACTTCAAGTTCAAACTACCCAGAACTCTGCGAAAATTCTAAAAGTCTCATTATGAGAGCTAATGAGTGGTTCTCAAAAAATAATCTCTTACTTAACAAAGAAAAAACTCATGTTATACTTTTCCGGACCTCACAGCAAAGAATTACAACTCCAACTAGTATAAGACTTCTTGAAACTAACATCAATATAGAAAGTAGCACACAATTCTTGGGTGTTTTTATAAATGAAAACTTAAAGTGGGATACACACATCAACTATCTTGGAGCAAAACTAAACCAAATAGCATACAGCATTCGTATACTTTGTAAATACCTGAATGAGAAGTCCCTAAAAATTATCTATCATGCGAACTTTGAATCCACTGCAAAATTTGGCATAATATTTTGGGGATCGAGCAGTCAAACTAAGGAAATATTCCAGATCCAGAAGAGGGTTATAAGATCATTATACAATATGAAATATGTTGAAACGTGCAGAGGTACCTTCAGATCAAATAAAATAATGACCATATTTGCTCTTTATATTTATGAATGTGTCATACATCTGTATAAAAATAAAATGAATTTCACACTAATTTATTTATTTTCTATGTTTTGTGACACTGTTTAATTCTTTGTCATATGTTTTATATAAAATGTAAACCTTTTTTTGAAATAAAGTATATCAATAATTAATAATAATAATAATACATTAAAATTTGGAATCAAATCAATTTTCCATTATTTTCTCAGAAACTAAGTGATATACATAAATTTTATAAATTTAGAGGAAAAGAAATATGTATTTTCAATTGTTTAATCTGATAAAAATATCGAGTTTGGAAAAACTATGACGTAGGTATGACCTACTGCGACGCCACTGGAATTATTTCGAATCTGATTACACCAAAAGGAGCTTCTTGATACTGTTGATAAAATCAAAAAGTTCAATTCAAATTGGAAAACAGAATTTCGAGTAATTAATAAAAAATAGTAGATTGTTTTATAGGATCGAAAGTGAAACTTTGTTTGACAAGCGAATTTTGCATTTTCGCGGCGGATCGTCTAGCGGAGCCGAGCGAAAGCAAAATAAGCGATTAAACTCACTGTATTATGTACTAACTATTGATTGCATTCATATAAATCAATAATTCTCTCTTGAAAGATTCATAACTATGAACGTGTGAAGAAGTCCATACTGCTCAAAGTGGAGTGACAGTGTTTGGAGGAAGATTTTGAGATTTACTCTTTCCTCATTCATAACTATGTTTACATTGGTAGAGCATTATTCGAATACATTTGGATAATGGGTCATATCAGAGCCACATAAGTTTTTATTTGTGTTTAGATATATTTGATTGTTTGCCTTGGTATCGTTATTGTGGACTTGGTTTACAAAATTCATTGGTGTTTTACTATTTTGCTGATTTTTTGAGACTTCAAATATATTGGAATTTGTTTTATTATCATAATCAAACAGGGCGTTTGCTACTACGTTTTCTTATGTTTCGACTTTTTCCATCATTGTATCACTATGCAGGGCTCTTATAATTGGAACAATTTTATTTGTCATGTGTTCTATGTGTGCTTGCCAGTTGAGTTTGTCAACAATTAGCTCTAGATACTTTCTATTCTCTACTTTCTTGACCATATCATCTCTAATTTCAATAATAAGCTCCTGACTTTCTTTGTTTTAATCCTTGAATAACATCGCTCAATAGTCGAATTCGGGCGTTGCCCGAAAAAAATACGCTAGTTTTAAGCAACAAACATTTTCTAACCCCGAAATTTCAATTATTGCATGCTGTTATTGATCATTACAAAACTAGTTTTGCGGGCCGGTCCAACCGACCAAATAATCCGAGCGAGATAATGCATGCTTTTGGGTGTATGATAAATTGACATTCATCATACAGGGCGTGGAAATGAATTCTGAATTGAGACTCTATCACGAATCTGCGATTAGAGGTCTATAAAAATCACAAGTTTCCATCGTTCAAGTTTGAACCCCCTGATTGGGTATGAAAGTGTTGAAAAGGAATATTCTCATAATTTATCTGAGAATATTCCTTTTCGAGATAATGCATGTTCTGTAATATGAGGAAGGAAAATATCACTTCTGCATAAGGAAGGAGGCTACTTTTTTCAAACAATCTAACCTAACTCGGCCTAGTACATTATACCAATTTGTTGTTGTTGCTGTTGTTGTGCCAAATCAAAGTCCTAGGACCACTATTTATTCATTACACATCCGAAATCCCAAAAAAGCAAAATTCAATGCTCACTATCACATATTTGCAAATGATACCATCCTAGTATATAAGGATCTATCTTGGCAGAATTAGAAAACTAAGTAAATTGTTATCTCATATTCTGGCTCCTGGCTAATAAGTTGCAAATAAATGTGAAAAAAACAGTGTACATATATGTTGTTCAAACATAAAAATAAGGAATGTCATGACCGAGACATCGAAATAGGAGATCAGGCATTAGACAAAAATGATTGGAGAATCGGCCAGTGAATTGAATCAAATCAAAAAGTTTGCAGTATTGATTTTGGTCTAGGACAGCATGGACGGTTGAAAAATCTTCAATATAAATGTGAAGGGTCCACCAAATTATTTCCCTGGACAACAAAATCTGAAATCTCGAGATTCACATCAGCTAGGTTTACATAATACTGTTATTTCATATTTTATTCTCTCTTTATGATTATCTCGTTTTCAGACAATCGAATTGCAAAGTACAAAATGAAAATTGAATGTATAACTAATGATATTCAATCACATATTTCCGAATCAGGTGTGGATGGTTCCAAGAATTTGAATTTAGTGAAGGTAGATCGAACAACCTCTATATAAAATCGTCATTTCAAGTAGCCCTTAGAACGAAACCAATTTCAGCACCGTAATATTATTTTTTCGCTATGTTGATTTGTTGTTAGGATAACTCACATTGTATAATAATTATCAAGAATCTGAGCTCATATTCTAAATCTATGAGAAAAACTATAAGAACTTGTTGAGGAAGTTTCTGACACTATTTCAGTTATTCCATAAGAATTGTTCTTGTAAATACAGTGTGTCCCACTTACCATGCTCACCATGGGTATCTTTTTAACGGTGAGAGAGCCATCTTGGAGCAGCCATTTTTTTTTAATTTCAACAAAATTCCATAATGTATTGTCACCGAAATTATGAACACCTGCCAAATTAAAGTTAATCGGAGTTATGGAATTTTGTTGAAATTAAAAAAAATGGCTGCTCCAAGATGGCCGACAAGATTTGGTCCGATTCCATACAAAATTGGTAAGTGGGGGTTTTTGAGGTCGGAGATCATGATTTTCTTGTTGAAATTTGAAAATTCAAGATGGCGGCTTCCAAATAATTTTTTGTTTTTGTATAAATGACGATAACTCCGTTGTTATCAACACAAAACTATTACTGCAACATATCATCTGAAAGAGGAAAAAAGTTATTTGTAACTAAGTCATAGTGAGATATGACCTAAATTTGAAAAACTAAAGTTGGTGCTGATATCTCAAATTCTAGAAGAGTTGGTATAAATTTTATATTTTTTTCAAAATCACTTTGAAAAACTGCCATGAGAATATGGAATTCCTATTTGAATATTCTCATTAATAAAGAAGTTACGGAGGAGACATGAAAATGATCAAAATCTGTTTTTTGCGTATAAAACAAAAACGAATAGATTTTATCAAAATATTTTTTCACCTTATAGTTGGCCTTGACAAACTCCACATTTGGTGTCATTTAACTGACCTCGTATCTCTCACCGTTAAAAAGATACCCATGGTGAGCATGGTAAGTGGGACACACTGTATAACTGACCTCTAGTATATAACAATTATCATTCATCATTTTATCGTAGATTCGGAATCAACAAAAAACAAAAAAGTATTGTTTGTTGTGTTGTATTTACATAAATTAAAATTGATTAGTAAGCAAATATAATTCAAGAAAAATTTAGTCCAGTCCGTTTTGCACCAAAATCCCATACGATTTTTTCAGTTGATTCCGAATATACGATCAGATTATTGTTAATTGTTATACTAGGTCCGTTATAGTTACAAGAACATGGCCAGGCAAACCACATTTATTGCATGCGTTTTGACACGAAAGGCCTAGTCATAGGTTAAACAAGCAGCTTAACGATTTCATGTCACTCGAAATGCAATTACGTCCTTGGTTCAATAATCAGATATTATTATAAACATACTATATCCCATTATAAATTATTTAAAAACCTAGAATATCAAAATCAATAGATTCCGGGGAAATCTTAATATTGGCTGCCTTCCGTTAATTTTTAGGTTGTTATATAATGCTTATGTAATATTGTTCAGAGGAACAACATTGATATAGTATTTTCACTTATTCAATAACAAATGCCATGTTAGTGTCTTCTTCTTCCTCCTTGGGATAATAAATCATTGATTACTTCTTCGATTCCAAACTGATACTTCCGATGAAACTATAGTTTATTTGTCTTCAAGGATGAATCTTTCGATGATGGAGTGATGAACAACAAGGCTTTTCCTTGCGGGAAATTCGCCGGAAGCCTCCGGAAGTACCTTTTCAGAGAACATCTCGGTATCCTCGACAACGACACGGATGTCTTCGACATGGACATAACGGATCCAGTGGCAAATCATTTTTACAAGGACGTCTGGTACAAAACTGCCTCTCTGAACACCGAATTCTACGAGAAGGTTTTCCATTGCTTGCCGACGGATAGCGTTAGGAGTTTTTCTGATTTGAAGAAGATCCACGAAGAGAAGCCACTGTGGGTGGATGAGATCTCGAGGGCTGAGAAAATGTTGGAGAGTATACAGGTGAGCTAAAGACCATTTTTGTCGACCTTATTACCACCAAATGTTGAAGAAAGTTCCAATACCTACCTCCGCTCCCTGTCCTCCCTAAGTACGCACGATGTTCTTCGAACAATATAGAAACTTTCTTTCGTGCATTCCAAGAGATAAAAAAATTGAATTGGTTGTTGATGACACCTGTTAGAGATTGATTTGTCTATTAATGCATAAGTGTAGTATAAGCAACCAAACATACACCGCTTCCATTCTTGGCATTATTACTTACGGAATCTGCATTCAAAACAAAATTATGGATTTCATCGAAGATTTTACGTAAGTAACCCACAACACCTTTAATTTTTCTGGTATGTATCCTCTTGATTTAACTTTCAGAAAGTTCATCAGTTGGGCTAAATGCTAATATATTACTGTTTTCTTTAAAAATCAATGTTGATTTCAGCTGTGATTATTTGGTCCATAGAGTATTTGCACAAGATTTTTCAGACTGGAATAATGTAAAATAAATAAAAAATACTTATATTTTTCATGTGATGAACTTACCAGTTTCTGTAAGTATGCCGTTAAGTCAGTTTAATTTACGGTAATCACTCTGTTTTCATCTTTCCATTTCAAAAAATGGGCATACTCCTTCTGTAAGTATTTTTTTTTCCACAAGCAGTAAATTTCCTAACGCTTTTTCAGCTTTGAGAGTCACATTCTGTGAGGTGTCTATAATTATTATGAGCACAACCGTTTTTAGTTTCCTCCACTAACAATTCTTACAAAACTGCAGCGTCGTTTCATTGAATGAGGTGGTGCGACGGTGCCACTATATTTTCCTTGTCGTCAGATATGTCAGAATTGCTTTGTCAATCATAAAGTCAAATTATTGATGACAGATTGATTGTACATTTGATTTCGCTGGTCCACATAAGATGGATTCATCCACCTTTCGTCGTGGTTTACTGAATCAGCAATTAAATGTTCTAATATCTGCACATCTGAATAGCTTTCAATAACTTTAAGGTGATTTTGAATTTTCGGTGAATGATATTTTCGTAACAAAGTACTTCTGTATCTTCTTCTGTATCTCAAAAATATTCGAGATTATACTATCTGAACTTATATACAATCATGTCAGCTCTTCTCTGTCTATCTTTCAGCATGGATTTGTCAAAGCTAGAAACACTGCATCTAACCTCTGTATTTTTTCACAATTCGTTTCTGATACCCTTGACCAGAGGAACCAGGTGGATGTAATCTTTATTGACTTCAGTAAAGCTTTTGATCGCGTGTCTCACCCTCAACTACTGAAGAATTTGTCAAGCTTTGGTATATCTACTAATATTCAGTTGCTGCTCAATTCATACCTGACAGAACGGAAACTCTTTGTCGAGTGTGATGGAATAAAATCTTCCTGCTTTACAGCCTCATCCGGTGTTCCTCAGGGATCAAATCTTGGTCCCTTATTATTCCTGATATTTATTAATGATATCACTGATCATATTCATTCTAACAAGCTATTATTTGCTGACGATATGAAGATTTATAGAGAAATAAAGGATGAATCAGATTACATTGTTCTGCAAGAAGATTTGAATTCTCTGAGTAACTGGTGCATTCAAAATAAACTCCACTTGAATATAAAAAAATGTAAAGTTATGACTTTCACTCGTAAACTTATCCCACTCACATTTAATTATGAACTTGATGGTAACACTCTTATGCATATCACTGAATCGAAGGACTTAAATGATGAAAATTTAGGTTTTCTCATACGCAACTGTAGAGATTTCAAGTCGTTCGATTCTTTGAAGAGCATCTACTTATCTATGGTCAAAAGCAAACTTGAGTACTGCAGTGTTGTTTGGAATCCTTCCCATTCCAAATACATTATGGCTATTGAGAACGTTCAGAAGAAATTCTTGAAATTTGCTTATTATAAAAAACATGGTATTTATTCCGTTAGAGGCTATAATTATGACCTCTTGCTACAGGAGTTTAATCTGATATCACTAAGAAAGTATCGCGAAATGAGAGACATGTGCTTTATTTATAAAATAATACACAACCAAATAGATTGTTCAACTTTATTGTCACAAATGATGTTCAATGTACCTCGTTTCTCATCTCGCTCATGTAACACATTTTACTTTCCCGTACCTAACACTGTGCATAACTTCCACTCACCTTTATCAACAATGTCTAGGAGCGTTAACAACACACCCAATGTAGATATTTTCTTTTTGTCATTTGCACAATTCAAACGTGATATTCTCAGCACACTTCCTAATTGATAATTATACATTATGCTCTCATTCACTTAATATTGATTATGCTTAGTAAAGGACTACTCTTATCACCTATTATTAATTTTGTACACCTATTAATGGGCTCTTGGGCCTGTTGGATGTATTTTTTTGAAATAAATAAATCTCAAACATCATCACGGAAATTATCGCAATGAACTTCAATGAGACTTTCATAATCATTCAGATTCCTTTATTTTTCCACTCGATTATTTGGACCACGCAAAAAGAGCTCAGTGCCGAAACAGTTTGAGATAGTGAGACGAGTTTCAGTAAAAATTATAAATCTTTCAAGTGTTTATTTATATCCATATTATCAATTTGTTTCATATTTGGCGGGTCCGAACTACCCCCTTCAATTTTCATGTACTGATTTCAATGGTGAACTTCATAAAATTCTTTCAAATAAATGAAATAAACTTGAACCAACAATTTCGAAGTTTGGCATGAATGAGAAGAAGACCTAATCTACACACAGTAATTAGCAAATCGATATATTATAGGAAAGAAAATTGAAGATATATTTTTGTATTCTAGGGTCATCTTGTTCTCTTCCCTCTCAACTTTTTGTGTAATGAAGAGCTTACTCCTGCTGCAGCTTCGGTCCATGGTATGATGCCTACTTCATTGTGGACATGAAATAACAGTTTGTTTAATAACCATTTTCTAACCTCTTTTTAACTTTTCAAGATATATAAATTTACTTATACAACTATAGTTAAAAATTATAAAAACACAATTTTAATCTAAACAGAAGCTTTAACCGTTGTTAGTTCCGTAAAGATGGGTCACGAACGATGGTACCTTAGACCTTTACCGAGAAGGGGACATAGGATCATTGTGAAAATTTTGTTACTCAAGTAGTGCTCTTGGATTATCGATCTAAAATATTTTCAGCAATGCAGTGTTGCCGTTTATTCCAGAAAGTAGTAGCAACTTTGATATTTCAAATAGAAATCCTGTAAAATAATAATAATTATAATAATGATCGCCTTTATTTGTCCTCACAAAGAAAAAATATATACACAGAGGGCAAATAGGCGGAAATCTAGTCATGACCAGACGAATTTAGGCAATACCTACTCAACTTTACCCCAAACTGAATAAGCATATTCTATTCAAAAGGTGAAATTTCATAACTAAATATAATCATTAGCTGAACAATAATAACTTATCAACTCTATAATTACACGAGTAGCAATACCAGTCAGACGAATTCGACAAGCGCAGTCAGCACATCATTTCGTTGTCAACCTCGAAATATGTCAAACAGCACTATATCAAAACTCGTTTCTCCATAGAACGGCTAAGCTCTGGAATGCATTGCCTGAGGAAGTATTTCCAAGAACACATAATCGCCAAAAGTTCAAAAGAATTCTAACATCTACCTCCTCTCCCTATCCTTCCTAGGTACGCACGATGTTCTTCGAACATTATAGGGATTCCCTTTCGTGCGCACCAACCGATAAAAAAATACAAAAACTATATCCACAAATTTAATATGTTATTAGAAACCTAATCATATTTTCTATTCCATTGCATTTTTATGTTTTCCCCGAAACTATTCATTATTGGTCAAAACGGCGCACATGTCTCTGTCTTAACTTTTGATTTACTATCTATCGACAATTTATTGGATAATAATACAAAGTGGTTCGAGATTCAAAATTCTGATCACCCTGTATATGTTCCAATTAAATGTCAGAAGATAGTGAATCAAAAGTTAAGATAGGGAAATCAGAGCCGTTTTGACCGATAGTGAATAGTTTCGACACAAAAAGATCATAAAGCTGAAAAATCTTGATGCACCCTATATATCTGTAATCATTCCCGCTTGGTCCCAATTGTGATGCATTGATGAAATCAGCTCTTCAGGGAGCTACTACTTTCTGATATACAAGGCAACGTTGCATTACAGACAATATTTTAGATCGATAGATCAAGAGCATCTACTTGAGTAATCAAATTTTCAGAATGATCCTATGTCCCGTTCTTCGTGAACTAAGATACCATCGGCCGTGACTCATCATGTATTTGCAAGTTATCAAAGCAGAACAGATATTATTTTAATACTGGACACTAAGTCCAATAAGAAAGAAAACTAGAACAATGGCAGAGATGTCTGATATTGCTCCCGCACTAGTTGGAGGTCGCCTGTCTTCTATATGACAAGTAAAGCATGGAAACTTATTTCAATTAAAAGTGAGGTTATGATTTTGTGTTCATTCCAGACGTTCTCGAGGTACACAAGGGCGCCATACAGTGCTTTTGAAAAGTAATGAATAAATTCACTTTTGGCCAAACTATCCATTTCTGAGGGATCACCTCATACTCGACATTTTTGTCAAATATAACATCCCATATAGTAAGGATAGTATTCAGTTTTCGTAGTCTCCATAAACTCAAAAATATATCACACATAGAGTTTCTATACAGTGCGTTCGTTATGCTCAATGCTCTGGCAAAGTAGTGGATAAATGTGTATAACATTAAAACAAAAGACACGTTTTCATATTCAAGCCATGACAACCCCATTTTACGAGAGCACTGAATTCAACGGACACATGTATACAAACCCTAAAGTATGTATGATATATTTTTGAAATCAGCTTTTCATTTAGATTCCATAAAAGTCATGATGTATGACTATATAGGATGTTCCATTCGAGAAAATGGTCGCTAACCTCATAACTGAAACATGGATCACCCTATAAATTAAATTTTCCGTTATGAATGTGACAAATTAAGATTGAAAATCGACCTGTTTCAGAGGGTTCCTCAGAAATGGTCAGTTTGGCTATACATTGATTCACTCAGTACTTTTAGAAAGCACCGAGACATCTTTGGTTAATAACAAATGTTAATGAAGTTTCAGCAAACTTCTCTACTTCGAGTATGTAAACAAAAATTGGCAGCTTACATGACCAACCTCAACAGTGACATGTTTCAAACTTTCCTAGCCATTGATATTTGCCCTTTTTTAAATACAGAAGTAAGTTTTCTCAAGTTTCTTTTCAGTATTAAATGTCAATCGTTTCACAAGAATCACAAATTGAAGAAAAAAATCATAAAATAAAAATATAGTTTGATTGGGAAAGCCCTTTCGAATTGATATTAATTTCAATTACTGCCTATTTCATCACTTGGGCCTGGTTTCATCAATAGCTTTAATGTGTGAACAATGTATAAACTCTAAAGATTTCTGCAGAGAATTGCATGGCAAAGTCAAATGGAGACTCCAATTATAATCTATAACTGTCAATGATATAATTGTTGATTCCAAGAGTTTGTATAGTGGAGTGAATGAGTGTGTCAACATTGACATTTTGGCGAGACGTGTGTCTTAATATCAGATAGATCAGGGTACATTTGAAAATATTGTTGCAAATATGCAACAAAATGCGAGTATATTGATCTTTATTATATGTATGTAAGAACAAAAACTTGTTTTTTCGTCAATGATAAAAGAGATAATGAGCTGATAAGACTTCCTGAAAATCTCGGAGGCTGTGAAGGTGATATTAAAATAATAGAAGAATAGGATTTTGATGGAAATAAGAATATATTGAAGAGTTAGCTAGTCTTCATCAGCATTATCGTTATTATTTCATCAATAGCATCATCAGCATGTTATTGAAATATGGAAGACACTTGATGGAAGTTTTTCTCCTGGCATTATGAATTTATTATAACTGTATTATTATTTTGGTGAAATTCAAATAATTGTCTATTTTCATTTCAAAATTTGGTGCTGGTATTTCTTCAGGAAATAGTTGAATGAGTTGAATTTTTCAGCATTCAACTGTTTCCAAGACAGCAATTATGTGTAACGATTTTTTCAGTAGCTTCGTCACAAGCATGATGTTGCATATATGCAACCATCAAATAACTTTCCAGTAGAAAATACTAATGTAATGAAATTTTTTTCTCTATTTCGTTGTGTGAAACTGGGCCTTAGTTTCATTGAAAGTATATAATTTTGATCTCCATTCAGTATTGATGTGTATTATTCTATTCTGTACTTACTGTCTTCTTAATAGTTCATATATTATGTATTTTGAATACCAACATTTGTAGCGTGTTTGCAAGTTTGGCGACAGTTAGAATCTAGCAACAAACAGTAATCCAAATGAAACATGATATTCTTTCTTCAAACGTCAAATTTAGTGAACATAATGTATCATATTATGTAATGATTATTATTGGATGAGATGGTTGTTATATAGACAACCATACCTCTTCCATTTCCATCAGTTCTCTGTGCCTGGAATATAAATTTGCCAAACATTGTTTGGTTTTTAATTCTCATCTGCACGAGTAGCTGACATGATGGCAACCTATCCTATCATGACGGGTTTTGCCTTCTGGGATGCTTTTGAATCAAAAGAAAAACAATTATAGTAATTTATACAGGGTGGCGACTTCAACTGGAAACTAAAATTCGATCAGTACGCTGGATTCCTTTTTCCACCAGCTTTCCAAAGAGAGGTTACAAGCCACAACGTTGTATTTGTAAAAACATTAAGGTTTGTCTCAGCTTCCCCTAGATGGAAATATTCTCCATGTTGCTTGTAAAATGTAGGTAAATAAATTTATTAGTTGTACTATGCATTCCAGTTAAAGTCTCCACCCTGTTTACCACGAGATTATATTCCAAGGCTTCAATGGCTTCATATTCTATAATATCTCAGAAGGATTCAGTAGGAAGACATCAGTTGAAATTAATGAATTATATGAAATGATTTGACTGTTATATGATCTATATGTCAGCGTCAATCAGTGTAATCCGCCATTGCCTGAAATTCTAGTTATTTCACGTATTGCCGACAAACAGCGTAACTCTACATTTGGTACACCATTCGCCTGATAGTTTCAGGTTTCAGGCATTCCCTATAATGACCAATTTTTAATAAAGTCTCTTTTTTATGCTCATGCAGAAAGGATATTTTCCATAGACGTAAATATTTTTCATCCGCAACCCCCAAACAGAGTAACGGCTGAAAACGGAATATTATAAGATCAAAGGATCTTACCTTATGTGAAGTTCGATCTTAATTATATGAAACGCCTTGCCCGAGATGATTCGACTGTGTAGTTTCCCACTTCCTGCCAAATGTTCCACAATATTTAAAGCTTTCATTCACTCTGCTCTCCCCACTAACCCACCATGTTTTTTTTATCGCTTGGAGCGCACGAAAGGGAATCCCTATAATGTTCAAAGAACATCGTGCGTTCCTAGGGAGGATAGGGACAGGAGGTAGGTATTGGAATTTTTCTTGAACTTTTGGAGATTATAATATGTTGTTGGGAATACTTCTACAGGCAATGAATTCCAGCGACTAACCTCATCATTTTTAAAGCTATATCATTGCAACTGGAAATGATTATGCGTGGGTTTTAGTGTGTGTATAATCCCTGAACCAAAAATTTGTGGATCGTTGGTCACTCCCTTCCAGTTTTGAAGAAACTCGCACAACCTACCAGCTTTTGAAGTAACCTCTTCATTCATCGCCTCCTTTTGGTCTCCTGGTCCTTCTTCTGGCGATGATTCGGGGGTCGTATTTGTTGTAGTTGGTGTTGGGACGAGAAAACGTATTGACCTCCGCTCTGGTGTCCTTTCTTCCTGAGCGGAACCTTGGAGTTTAACTTCCTATGCACAACCTTTGAAGATCTTCTAGCCTGAGTATTAGGCTTCAGCTCATTTCCAGATTTTTCTATCGTCCTTGCAGCCTTAACTCGCTCCCCTAG